GGAGGCGTGAACTTCCGATTAAATGCTTATCCGCGGTAGCCTGTGATAAGACCATAAAGACTTTTTGGGGCACTTAAATAAAATTTTTTTAAAAAGTAACAGATTTACATTAAATGTAGAAATATCTAAATTTATGTTGTTGCACAAACCTAAATAGAGAAATCATGCTTTAAAAAATTCTTTTTTTAAGTAAGTCATTAAAAGAAATCAACCATTAAAATTCTTGGAGTGATTTAGATGAAAATAAATCATGCTAACTTTTTTAAAAATAAAATCTCAATTTTATTTGTATGCCCAAAAATGTGAAATTATTTCTTAAAACTGAATCTTTAAAAATTATTTACTTTTCCTTTATTAATAGTTGTTTTATCTATTGCGGTATTCCATGTGGAAATTTCAATTTTAGTAAGCTACAAAAATCTATAGTTAACAAAACAATGCATTTAAGAGAATAACTAAGACCTCATTGTCACTACTTGATAATACAATTACTAACAGTTTTCAAAACTACCGTTTAGGAACAGGTATAAAACTGATTTAACTGATCACTTTCCAATATTCATATAATTACTTATAACATAACCCTAAATAAAGTCCCTTCATACACTACAATCTTAACACGACAGATCAATAAAAACTCCTTATTAACTTTTCGAACTCTTTTAATAGAAAATATCAATTTGAATTTTGTTTTACAATCCCATGAATTCAATACTGCATTTGAACTATTTTTTAGCGCAATTCTGTAAACAGTAGGACAGTATTTCCTATTAAAAAAATAATTATAAAATCCAAGTCTCTTTTAAACTACCGGGGTTTAAAAGGAATTAATAAAATCATCAAAGAAAAAACAAAAACTTTATGTTAAATATTTAAGACATAAAACATATAAAAATGAAATAAACTACAAAAACTATAAAAACTTTTTTGAAAAAAATAAAAAACACTCTGAAAAAATTTATTATGCAAAGTTGTTGGAAAAACCCAACGGTGACACTAAAAAAACTAATCTTCCACAAAAGCTTTTAATTTTGAATCTTAGATTAAATCATGTAGTTCTATTATGGAAGAATCTAATTTAAATCTAAGCGAGATAAGGAATTGTTAATAAATAATGTTGTTAAGTTAGTCTTCGGTATCATTGAATCGTCATTATTTCATACTTTTGATTTTTCATTAAAACTAGGTGTTGTGCCGAAAAAACTTAAAGTTTCCATAATCATTCTTTTTTTAAATCTGGTGATGAAATTAATATTAACAACTACAGACCTATTTCCGTTTTACCCTGCTTCTCAGAATTATTGGAACGAATTATGTACAACAGACTTTACAACTATTTGATGTTAAACAGTTTGCTGTACAGTAAACAAATTGGTTTTCAAAAAGATAGTTGAACTAACCATGGTGTAATCGAACTAATTAATCATGTATCAGATGCATTCAATAATGACTATTTTACTCTAGGAGTTTTATTATTGACCTGTTATTGATTTTTTTAATTGTTTTTTTTTTTTTTTTAATTATAATTTTAATTCTTTTTAGTTGTATTTTATTTATATTTTTAATTGTTGTTCTGTTATTGATTTTATTATTGATCTGTTGAAAGCTTTTGACACTCTATGGAGTAAAAAATAAAAATTTACTTTGGTTTGAAGACTACCTAGTGAACATGTCACAATGTATTATTTATAAAAAAAAAAGTAAAATAAAAACACATTACATGTTGTGTTCCCAAGCTTCAATCTTAAGACCATTATTGTATTATTATTGTATATAAATGATTTATTATTATTATTAACTTATTATTATTGTATATAAATGATTTATACTTAGCATCAAAGATTTTAAATGTTATATTGTTTGCAGACAACTCCAATCTTTTTCATTCCAACAAAGACATAAAAGCTCTCTTTATTATACTTAATGAAGAACAATTCAAAATAAACGAGTGGTTTACAAGTAATAGGCTTTCATTAAATGTAGAAAAAACTAAATTTATTTTATTTTCCAAACCTAGTAAAGATGATGATGATGATTACCCAATCTCCTAGTCAATATAATATTCATTAAAAGGGAACCAATCGTTAATTTTCTAGGAGTAATAAAATATGAAAATTTGACCCTTTTTTAAGGAAGCTCGGTGCCCTAAGTTTCTATAAACTTTATATACACCAACTTCTACAATTCATGTTTAAAACTAAACATGGACTCTCTCAAATTGTTTTTTAGTCTTACTTGAGTGAAATATTGCACAAGTATTCTACCAAATTTTCAATTAATAACTTTATTGTTCCAAAAACTAATTCCTAACTAAATTCTTACAAAATCTAACACCGCGGACCGTTTCTATGGAAACATTTTTCAAAATTTATTATAAAAAATGATAATGTTTAAAACATCTCATTGGAAAAATTCAAAAAAGCATCTATAAATCTAAGCATTTAAGAATCTCTTACTACAAAAAAACTTTGATCTAAATTATCTCTTTTTTAAAATAAATACATTAAATAATATAAAAAAAGTTATTGAAACTACTTCTCTTTTATTGCAGTTTTAATATAATTTAATTTTTTGTTGAAAAACTTTAATACTTTTAAATTATTGTTAATCTTTGATATAATGCGTTGTATTTCAACATTAATATTTATATTATATTATTAGTTATTTGTAACTAACGTGTTTAAAATTCTTTTTATATACTTAGCTACTCTTCATTTTTGTATATTATTTGACGATTTTTTAATGTAAATTTTATGATGGGGCATGATGATAAGACAATTTATGTCTTCTGCTTGCTTCAGCTCTCTTATTTATAAACAAAATTTATAAATAAGAGAGCTGAATACAACATTAATAAAATAAAAAAATGGTCATTAATCACTGATTTATGCTTTGATTTTATTTATCTTATAACATCTTATATTATTATTTATTCACATCTTAATTTATTTAACATTTGTAATATCTACATTTAGTAATGCTGTATTTCATCTTTTCTTTTGAATATACGGCGACAATGTAAATTCGTTGATAATACTATCTCTTCATATTCCAACCAGTTATTATTTAAGTAAGGAAAATGATAGAATCAAAAACCTTTTCCGACGTTTGAAATTTTGTGTAAATGGGTGACCTGATAATAAATCATTATTTTGAAAAACTGCGTAAGGTAAGAAACAAGTATACATTTATAATTAACGTTTTAATAAGTAAGCATTGTGATTTAAAAGTGTTTTAATAATCAAGGCAAACATTTATTTTGTTATATTCCGGTCATAAATTTTACACAAAACTTTAAACGTTGGAATAGATTTTTGATTATATTACCTACCTTAAAGTAAATGATAGAACCAAAAAACAATCTTATTGTAAATTTTGTATCGCAAAAAAGAAAAGAGAGAAATCATTTGTAAAAAAAATTTAATGAAAAATTTTTATTATAATTTTAACTAAAATTTTCGAAACAATTTAGATGTTTTTCTTTTTTTTTTCTTTTTTTTTTTTTTTTTTTTTGTATATATTTAGGTGCTCCCAGAAGTCTATCATAGAGCACCGCGGGAGAGCATTTAACAGGAAGTTCACGCCTCCTTCCGTACCAATGTCGCTTGTTGGGCTAGAGATGGCGTCGAACCTCGGACCTTTGGGTTCTGAGCCAGAATTCTAACCACTGCGCCACGGCAGAAAACCTAAAAAAACTAGTTCACATTCATGCACTGTGTGAGTTTCAAAAAATTGGAAACCTTTCAGATCAGTGGCGGAACTACCATACCGCAAAACCCCGCAATGCGAGAGAGGGAGGGGCCAGACATGTAAGGGGCCTATATTATATAAAGGAACTATAGTGTTTAAAAATTATTATCATGTTCAAAAACTTTAATCCCGTATTAAAGTAACGTCTGACAAAATCGAAAGAAATAAAATACAAAACAACAACAAACTGATGAAAAACAGTAACTACAAAAATGTAAAAAAGCCTAACCTAACTGGGGACCTAAAAAATATTTTGCGAGGGAGCCCAAAATTTGAAGTTCTGCCACTGTTTTAAATGCACGTTTATTGTATTAAAAACAGTCATAGTTATATCTTTATTAATGTATGATAAACAAAGTGAAGAGTCTTTTTTTTAATTTTCATTATTAATGCTTAGTTAAATGTTCTCTACATATTTAACACTTTAAAAAGCTGATGAAATAATGCAAACAGAGTATTAGAGATTACTCTTTATCCAAAGTTTCTTAATCAAATATGTCTTCAGAAGTTACATTGCGTCATGAGAATAGTGCATTCATAAAATACAAATAGATTTTAAATAGTGATATACAAAGAAAAATTATACTTATAATATATTACATAGATACATGAATATATACATTCATACGCATGCACATACGTATCTACATACATACATACATACATACATACATACATACATACATACATACATACATACATACATACATACATACATACATACATACATACATACATACATACATACATACATACATACATACATACATACATACATACATACATACATACATACATACATACATACATACATACATACATACATACATACATACATAAATACATACATAAATACATACATACATACATACATACATACATACATACATACATACATACATACATACATACATACATACATACATACATACATACATACATACATACATACATACATACATACATACATACATAAATACATACATACATACATACATACATACATACATACATACATACATACATACATACATACATACATACATACATACATACATACATACATACATACATACATACATACATACATACATACATACATACATACATACATACATACATACATACATACATACATACATACATACATACATACATACATACATACATACATACATACATACATACATTCATGCATACATACATACATACATACATACATACATACATACATACATACATACATACATACATACATACATACATACATACATACATACATACATACATACATACATACATACATACATACATACATACATACATACATACATACATACATACATACATATATAATTTATAAATGTTAACACAGATTGCACGTTTTATGGCAATAACGTTTTACAGAAGTTGTGAGAGCACCAGGTTGACCATTACACTCAGCTGAAAATCTTTTGCAAATTACTGCGTAAGCTGCATCATCTTTACATGTCTCTAAATAATGTGAAATAAATAATGAGTTAGTTTTATTTGTAATATACATAAAATTATTTAAACAACTTTATATTGCGCATGCAATAAAGTTATACTGTACAACAACCTTGCATAGCGGCTCAAGCGGTGTCTACAAGTAACTGAGTAGAAAATGTAAACTACTATAACATATCAAGAGATACAAAGTTAATGGTATAAAGTTAATTTTTTTTGACAAAAAAAAATAGTTTTTATCTTGAAACTTTTAATAATGGAGTTTGGTAACTTATTGGCAATAAAGGTCCAAAAAAAATTTGCTGTGTTTACTGATGAAAACAAACTTATAGTCAATTATATAAAGCATACTCTTGTCAGAAAAGTATTTTTATAAAATAACTTCTTTAGAGGGAATTTCAGGTATAATTTTTCACAGAATTTTCTATTATACAAATTCATTACTTTGTTTATCGCTCAACTTTTCGCCGGAGCACATTGAGACGCATAAAACTCAGATTTTTTAAACAAATCAAGTTAAAAGTATTTTTTCTTAAACAATTTTTGAAACTACAACAATAATACTACAACAAATAAAACCTCTTATGTTTAAAAAAATTAATCCGAAGCACCGTTTAGAATATCTATTAAATTTAGTGATTTTACTTAACTAGACCCTAGACCCTTTGCTCAACTAGATCCGCCTGACCTATACGTGAGACTATCTATTAAAATGACAATCAAATTAATTTTTAAATCAATTTTAAAAGAACCTCATTCAATGAGCTCTCAATATTCAAAAATCATTGAATGCCCAAAGTATCTAAGAATGCCACTCAACCGTCGTCTAATAACCTTTTGTTGCGCATTTTATTACATTTCTTACCATCTTTAATCTTTATCGTTTTTAACCCAATAGATGTTTTGTTATTCGATGCGCTGATTTTAAGATATTTTACTTCTTCATCACTTTTACAAATAAATTTTAAATTGACAGTTGATATCTATTATTGAATTAAATTTAAATAGGTTTTTATCCTACACAAGAAAAGCAGATAAAAAGTATTTTATAAATTTTATTATTTTGAAAAACACTTTTTTTGTTGAATTTTTTTGAAAAAAGAACTTTCTCAATGTTTTTAACTAAACTTTGTCTTACAACGGTTAACAAGAACATGCGAGTGTTTACAATGATTGCTTATCAATATTTGTAAACAATAGAGTATCATCGTTAGCCATTTTCAACCGTGTTTTCAAAAAGCTTCTAGATCATAATTGATTGCAAAAATTCAACCATGATTACAGTTAAATCTTTTAAAACAATTTAAAAAAACCAAGAAGCCGTTTTGATAGTGGGCCTTTATTTCTCCGTTGTTACAAGCCGAACTGAGGCAGTATTTAAGAAGGGTAGAGTGGGGCTAGTTGAGCATGAGCATAAGTAAAGTAATTCAAATATCTCTAAAATTACGCATCACATGAAAAAGGGAATTAGAATGTTAACACAATGCGCAACAAAAATTTGCTGAAAAGCAGTTGAGTATGATACACGGGCAATTTTTCAATTTTGGACGAAAAAAGGACAAAAAGAACTTCCACTAATTTTCTTTTGGATGTTTATAAATTATTTCTGTCATCACTTTAGTGATGATATTTTATCAATTTATCGGACTTAACATTAAAATGAGCCGCTTTTTTCTAAAGTCTTACTGTACTCTTTAAAACCTAGTTAATGTGACACCTTGTCTAGTAGGTTTTTAAAATAATGCAGCTTCAAAAAAAAAAAAAAGTTTTATTAATGACTCACCCAAGTTTTGTACCCTGCATTTTCATTTATTTGTTGATTGCTCAACTTACCACACACTATTGCTCAAATTACCCCGCTGCGGCAAGTTGATCAGCTCCGCAAGCTTTAGGCAATATCTTCTCAAAAAAATCAAAAACTATAGTTTTTTCTTAACAATTTTTTAGCAGGTTAAATTAACATTCAAATATGAGATCTATTAGATTTAGTAGAAATTGGCCCGCTCTACCTTACCCACGTGAAAAAAAGAAAGGACAGTCGAATAAAATATAAATCATTTTGTCATAACTAAAATTATATATCTATTCTTTTGAATTTATAAAAAAAACTTAGGGAAATTTTATTTCTATTGTTACTTAAAACATGTAAAACTTTCATTGTCAAACTAATTTGGATTGTTTTAGATGGAAATCTGGTGTTAGACTACTAACAGGTAAAACATTTGGTAAAGATTGCATAAAGAACTTGGATCATAAATGAATGTAAAATAGTTTCTCTGTATAACTAAAAGCTTTTTCTTAAATATTTTCACTTTGATATAGTAGTGTAGCTTTTACATAAATTTTATTCATTAGTAAACACAATTTTTTTTTTTTTTTTTTTTTCTTTTCGTCGGGGTTTAATAGTAAAGAACTAAAAAGTCTTGTTTAATTATTTTGTTTAAAATAATTAAATAACTTTGAAACGTACAGGTTAAAAAACAATATTAATAACTGAAATTATTTTTTGATTTGTACGTGTCAAAGTTGGTAATTGTTGTTGGTACTTGGCAACTGATAGTCTCTATATAATTGATGGTAATAGGAAAGGTTTGTAGCACATTCTTTAAAATCTCGAGTTATTATATCAGCAAAACAAACAGCACAACCATCTAAATGATTTCCTAATAAATATTGATGCTTAAATGTGATTTGAGCTTCGCAAGCTCCAGATTTAATTTTTAGAAACGGGCTTTGTTTAAAGCTGATTTTATACTAAGGCAAGTTATTTTGTTATTTGACAAAGGTTTAAAAGGTTAACTTGAAAAAAAATGAAATACTTTGAACAGCAAAATGTTACCTTATCATTAGCAGAAATAGTGAATATAAAAATAGTGGAACTTCACAATTAAACACTTTAGATTTAATGAAAATCAAATAGTTTTGCTTGTACGATATTAAATCACCATAAGTAAATACAGTAGTATGTGAATTAATGTGAACGTGTGCAAAAGTATTTTTTGTATTTGATGGTATCTTGCATTTGGCGGCCATTCTACTGAGTTTTGTGGATTGTTATTTATCTTTTGGTTGTGTTTCGTGCATTTAAAGTTAATTTTGAGATTTTCTAAAACAATTTCTAGCTATTTCCGTGTTTTGAAAAATAATGCTTGCTAAGCCATTATTTTTTTAACGATAAATATTACTCCTCGAAAATGAATAAATAATATCATCTAAAATAAACATACTTCACGATGGATATCACTACTCAAAAATGAATAAAGAGTATCACCTTAAGTAAATATATATATATATATATATATATATATATATATATATATATATATATATATATATATATATATATATATATATATACCACGTATGCACATACATATATACCACGTATGCAACTGATTTTTATGTGTATTACGCGTTTAAAAAAAGGTACTCAATTACAAGACTGACTTAAGTCTTCTGCGAGCTTCCTATTACTACAAACAAGTAATTCTTTTTATCAATCTTACATAAATTTCGTTTTTATCATATTTATACACAAATATTATTTTGAATTGTGGTAATCAAACTTATAGTGAAACGTCTAAACATTCCGAAAAATCAGCAGATTTATTTTTATTTTTTTATATATATTATATTATTGTAATAGGTATTTATTTTAATGATGTCTTGGAGTTGTACGCAACTTTATTTTTATATACTTCATATATTTCGAACTTTATGTTTATAATATTTATATTTGTATATCTTTACCGACAATTTGTGATTGGTTACTTGTAAATACTTTGTAGTTGTAAAATAAACATCTATTAAAAAAAAAGGGCTTATCAAATCTGGAAAAAAGGAAGTTAGACCACAGAAGAAGCAGTTATTAAGAAGTAGAAAAAGAAAAAGAAGAAGAAGAAGGAGAAGAAGAAGAAGAAAAAGAAGAAGAAGAAGAAGAAGAAGAAGAAGAGATCTAAGAAAAAACAGTAATGATCAATTAAGTATTGCTTACATTGAAAAAACTTTAAAACATCCTCAAAAAGTAAAGTTTTGGCGCTGTTTTTCACACCGTGATCCGAGATTACTATGGTCACTGATTCTTTAAGATTACTTTGATTTTTAAGATAAAAAACTGGAACTGAAAAAAAGCGGATTCAATGAGATGTGGCTCCGCCTTGCCACAGTTTTAAGAAAGTGAAAAATTATTTCCAAGAAAATAACTCAAGACAATTGAGTTGCCAGGGAGTTCCCCTGATCTTAATCCAATGGGACGTATGGATACACCGGAAAAGAAAAATTGGCTAAAAGAACAAAATAAGTATGATAGAGGCATTGATTCAGTTCTGGTTTCGAAACAACTAAATCAAATAAAACTGTAAAATAAAAATATAGAACCAATGCCGAGAAAAATATACAAAAAAATAGAAAATAAGGGTGGATACACGCATTAATAAATAGTTATATTAGCTAATACTTTTTTATAATAAAATGTTTTTTTTTTTTTTAATGTATTTTTTCTGTTTTGCAAACCCGTGTTCACGTTAATTCGCACACTACTACAAATGTTTTTAAATTTCTTTCAGATTTAAATTATCCATTTTTTTATCTTCTTTTATTACTACTTTTTTTATTTTTTATTTTTTTTACTTTACTGTTCAAACAAACTACGCTATATTTTACTGTGGTAAAATTTAAACAAAGTATACTCTTAAACCATTTGTTTTTTCAAGTTACTTTACATAATATACACAGATATTTTACAACTTAAAGTTTTCTGTTATAAAGGTCATTTGAAGGTTTCATTGATTTTGATTTAAGTATAATATTATTTTATATGTGAAAAATGACCCACTAGTTAAGTTTTTAAATTTAGATTGCAACAGTTGTTTAGATAGCAGCTTTAGTGTGGTCAAATTCTTTCTTGTTGTTGTTTTTTTTTAACTTGTAAAAATATGGAATAATATTAAGTTTAATGGATTGTTTATCCTAAACAAATAATATACAATAAAATTTGGAAGTGCATCATTTATATAAATCTGATCAAATTTTTAGTATTTACTATAAAAGTTATTTTTTTACAATTTCTGCATTTTTTACAACTTCAGTACAACGTCTGTATAACATTTAACTACTTTAATTTTTGTAAAATAAAAAACACTTTATATTGCACCTTTTTTTTTTGAAGTTATTAGACCTTCCATAGAAATAATATTAAAGTGACCTGATTTTAAAAATACCAAAATGCAAAGGAAGCTTTTGATCCTGGTCAAAAGGCTTCTTTGTTTTTTAATATTTAGGGTACTGTGTTTAGCGGTAAAAAAAAAAATATTTCTAAAAAAGACAACAAAAATATCAACCTAAAATACTTTTTACTAATTTTATATTAAAATTTTAAGTATATTTTAAATATTTTAATAAATAAACTATTTAATAAATGTGCTTTAAAAAAAAAAGTATTTTGAAGTTTAAAAAAAATGAATTCACAAATATATATAAAATAAACAATCAAACCTGGGCATTCACTTCCTAATTCATTAGTCTTTACAGTTTTTTTATCGTTACAACACCCGTGTTTTGAGTTATCGCAAGAACTTTCAAACAATTTGGATTCACAATCACATGATTTTTTACAGTTTACTTTAATAAGTACGTTGCGTTCGCACCATCCCATATGTTTGAAGTACGAACACTTTTTGTAATCGTAAACATTCTTACAGTCTTGAGCTAGTTGAATAAAAAAAATTATATAACTGCAAATAATTTACTGCAATTAGTCCCCTTGTGCACATGCTATACAAATATCTCTTCTCTCTCAATAAATTACCTTGCAGAGAGGTGGGACCTTAAAACTTATTTTTGCAGCCACCTCATGCATTAGTTTGCAAATAATCTTATTATTACTACCTATTTTTATTTCAAAACGTTTTTGATGTATTGAGAGCAAGAAAGAAAAATGAACAGTTAGTAGTAAATAGTTTTTGCTATTGCAGTAAATATTTAATTAAAGTTATTGTTATTAAAGTATTAATATTGTTATTAAAATATTTAATTAAAGTTATTATTAAAATATTTAACTAAAGTTATTGCAGTAGATATTTAATTAAAAGGTAATTAAATATTTTTAATATCTATTTAATATTTAAAAATATTTACCTTTATTGCTAACTAAAAATTAAAATTTTAAAGGTAATAAAATTTTAATTTTTTTAAATCTTATCATTTATTTAAAATAAGTAAAAATAACCTTTTGAGCCAACATTTGAATCAATACTTGTTTGTGAAACAATCGCTCCTTCGGTTTCTATTAAAAGTATTATAATATTTTTAATGTTTAAAATTATAAACATATTACAAAAAAAAAAAATATTTTGGTTAAAGCAGAAACAACCTAGCTCTTTGTTTAAAAAAACTGTTCTTTTAAACTATTCAAAACTTTGAATTGATAGAAACTTAAAATGGATGCAACTTATTTGTATTGTTAAAAACAGTAAATTCGCCCGGACAACGCATGCCCACTCTGTAGTTTACACTGCACCACAGATTACACTAAACAAACTTAATTTTTTTAATTAATTTATTTAAAATTATTTAGAACTTTTTGAAATAAATAACGTATTAGAAACATTTATAGAAAAATTTAAAAAAATTTCTCTGAAAAAGTCAACTTAAAAAGTTAAAAAATATGACAAATAAAAATACTTAGTGAATCAAAGCATCTTACTGTGTGAATCAACTTCCGATGACAAAGAAAGAACTTCAACTATAAATTAAGTAAAAACTACATTAGCCACGATTATTATATAAATTCAAATGACCTTAACCTATATATTTATAAATATATCTCATTAATAAAAAAATCTCAATATCAAATGTAATTATTCATTTAATGTAACCATGCTGTAACTCTTTATAGCGCATTTAAAAGCTACCCAGCTAACACAAAACGTTTAAGAACGTTCAACAAACGTTGCGAACGTTCAAGAACGTTCTACGAACGTTTATAGAACGTGCTCGAACGTTTATAGAACGTGCTCGAACGTTTACAACGTTTGTCGAACGTACTTGAACGTTTTGTGTTTAACTGGGTATTGGATTAGGATCTAATTTTTGTAGGGGCGGGCAGGGAAGGGTAGGGTTAGTCGAACTTCAGGAAACTTTTAATATCTATTTTGAAAGTTTTAACCTCACCATTAGTTAGATGGTTTAAGTTTTTACACTTTTAGAATCCCATTGTCATTTATCTTTTACAGGTATATTGTAGTTTTCTCTGGAACTGACAACTCAGTAATCTTAGATTTTTGCTAACAGTGGGAGTAGATTGATCTAGAAATAAACCTTTAATGTAAAACATTACGTTTTACATTATAAAAATGTTTTATTTTGAAGAGTTTTATAAGCTTAATTTAAATCAAATTTTGTAAATAATTATCAGATATTGAAATTTTATGCACAAGAGTATAGCTAGCTTACAAATATTTGTTTTCAATATAAGTATAAAGCGAAAAAGTCTAAATAAATAAATGATTGATTTTTTTTAGAGTCAATGATTACGTTATATTATGCCTTGCAACTACATAAAAAAACTAAGTTCAGCATACGGATTATATGATTATATGATGGGAAGCCATAAAGACAGCCCTACCTTAATAAGTAAAGCGGCATTCATGTGCAATATCAATAGAACAACATTAACTAATCGTATCAAGAAAATGTATTGTAAACAAGTTAGACGCCCAACAATTTTGACAAGAGAAGAAGAAATGTTGATTGTTCATACAATTCAGAAACTTAGACACTGGGGCTTTGGGATAGATTGTTGCAATGCTGCGAGTATTATGCAAGATTACATAAACAGTACTGGTAGAGCTAATACCTTTAAGAATGGCAAGCCTAGAATTGATTAGATGCGTGGTTTTGAAGAGAAATGGAAAAAAAAAACTTACCCATCGGATTGGATATTCTCTTCCTGCTAACGTGTGTATGCATGCAGTGTTGTTCATTGAATGCAACATTGCATTCAATGAATCCACCCAATACATTCATCAATGATCCCACATTATTTACTTTACTTTTGTAGACTTAGCTATTGCATACAAAATTGACCTACTTTGTTAATCTGCCCATACAAGTTGTATTTTACATCCTTTAAATGCAGATGTTTTCAATATATTCAAATCATCTTGGAGGAATTGTTTGAAAATCTTTTATGATTCAACACATACAAAAATGTTAATAAAGCAACTTTTCCACAAGTGAGAAACTTTCAACGGCAGAACCTCAGACGTCGGGTGTAATTATTAGCGCAAGTAATATCGGAAATCAAAATCGGATTACAATTATTAAATGACATAAATACAAGCTCCGTACCAATGTCAGTCACATGCTTAGATGAAATTCAGGAAGTACTGACTTCAAGAAAAAATCTAGAATTAGAACTAGAAAAGAAGGTAACTTTGAAACATCGTGTGAAAAGCGACAAAAAAAGAACAAGAATCAAGAGAACATTGGCGGAATGTCTAACATGTGATGAATCTTGTGCAAATTTAAATGAAATAGAATCAGCAAAAAAAAGCAAAACCTAAAAAAAAATAGCTTTCTTTTTTATATAGTAGACAATATCAGAACTGAATCTAATTGATATCTTTTAAATAAAATTTTTTGTTATGTTTTCAGCGCTACTTTACTTTTTTTAAAGTGGTAATTTTTAAAAAAGAAACTGTAAGTTGGTGCTAGTATATATTTCAAATGTTTTCTCTAACACAAAAAACTTAAATTTTAAGAATTTATGGTAGCAATATCATTGGTAAACACTTAGAAATATTGGATACCAAATTTTTTTGTTGCATGCTAGAAAAATAAAATTTTTTCTAAAGATGTGTCAACGTTACACCCTTTTACCTTATATGAGATAATGAACATATTTTGTTTATAACATGTTTTGAAATTTTGAAAACTAAACTTTGATTTAAGCTTAGTTTAAACCAAATAAATTGTAAATAATTATCAGACATTGAAATTTTGTGAATATAAAACATACGACTAAACTAAAATAGACAACTTATCTCTATAAAAAAACTGTCTTAAAGCTGCTGCCAATTACGGTAAAAACTCTACTTTTAAAAAATTAATTGAAATTTAGCTAGAATGAAAATTCAGAAGAACTGAATGCGAACAAATGAGCACTTAAAAAGCATTATAAACAAAGTGAAGTCTGGGTTCTGATGGGCCCTGAGACCGTACTTGCTACTCTTTTATTCCAAAAACCCATAACAAAAATCATTGGTTTGAACTTTTTTGATGTAAAACGATGTCGCATCGATAATTTAAAGAAAATCTAAAATTCATACCTAAAATGGATTTCTAGGGTCCATAGATAGATGTTAACCTCAATGTAATTATGTTACACAATTTAGTTTTTTATAGATTTTTTCTACAAATGAGGTAAGAGAATTTTATCTTTAATAATAGTTTTATTAAAATTGGAAAATGTGACTAAAATTAGCTTGATTAATATTACGTCATCAGTGTAAACATTTTAAAATCTTTTAATTGAGTGTATAAAGTTAATCATAAAAAATAATTTAAAACAAACTTTAATTAAGTAAAAAAATTAAATAAAAATTATCTTAGTTGATAACACAATTTGTTTTTTTTTTTGTTTTGTTTCTGGGAAATGTTTGCGTTTTCTTAGTTTTTTGCATGTAGAGTAACTAGAAGTGACCAGAAAATGTAAACTATAAATGTAAAAAGATTAACCAGAAAATGTGAGCTATATTGTAAAAGATTTGCTTTCGTAGCTTAGATAATAATATTAAAATTTGAATGTTTTTGCATTTTAATAACCGTAAATTACATTTACTATGCAATCTTTTAAAGCAATTTTTGATAGAAATAATGGCTTTTTTCAAACTTCTATTTCATGAGAGTGTTTTAAATCTTTTCATGGCTACAAAAAAAAAAAAAAATTAAAGGTTACATAGATGTCTTATTATAAAACTTTAAAAATGTGTTTATAGTAAGTATTTGTTTTTAATAACTATAAATGTATTTGTAATAGGATACATAATGCATTATTATAAAGGAAAATAATCAAAAAATGCAAACTGTATAACTTATGCTTTAGGTTTTTAAAGAAAATGATAAAATGAAAAAAACATATTGTGTTACATTTCGTAAACTTTATTACATTTTTAGTAAAATCTGCAAATTTAAAAAGTTTTATAACGACACCAAAATTGATTGTTGTCATAAATATCATTATTTATTAAAAATATTATTTATTAAAAAAAATTTAATCAAACAAATAAAAGTTGACTTGATTCGCATAATTCCTTTATCCAGAAACATTTGAAGTTTCTAACAGACAGTTTTTTTACGATGCTTTATTTTCATCTATATATATTTACATTATATTTAAATACTTATTTGCCATGAAAATATATAATTTTATATATTATTTCATAATTTTACAGCCAGTGGGCGCCGATAGCCAGGGGCGCTCCTGCTTACAGCGAATTTGTTTTACAAAAACAATGTAAAAATCATAGATATTTAAATTAGGATTTTTAGAATAAATAAAATTTTTAATAAAACTTTATATTAACTAAAATCAGAAGCATCTTAAAAGTTTTTTCTTAATATAAACACAAAACAGCTGTCACTGTCATTTCAAGAAGTTTTTATTTCTTTGCAATTTAATAATTTTTAATAAAATCCCAGCAAGCATTTGGTCTAAAAAATACGTCTTTTATGCGTATAAAAAACGTCTAATACGTTTAAAACTCATATTAAAAAGGTTTTTTTTAAAACTAAATGTTTGCTGGGGTTAAAGAAAATAAGGTTTATATATATTTTTTTTAAATACCGCAAAATCCGCATGTCTTCTTGCAGTTTATTTTCGCAAAATCTTTTCTGTAGTCGCACCACCCTTTTTTCTTCATATTCAAGCAATTTGAGTTCTTGTCCATGCATTCTAACAAAAATCATTATTATTTACAAAAAAAAAAATAAAAAATTTGTTTGTTAATTATGCAAATTTGTTTATTTAAAAGCAAGACAATCGGTTTGATTTTTTATAAGTTAAAACTTTGTACAACATTTTTAAGTATTTACCTTGCAAAGATACCCTATATAAGTTGACAATGAACAAAATCCATATAAAATGATATTTTTCAAGCATCTTATACCTAAAAGAAGTATTTTAAAAGTATGTAAATAAATTTACAAATTTATCAAGTAAAGATTTGTTTAGTTGTTAGTTTCGTCCTTAAAGTTGCCGGATTTCATCTTTTTTTTTTTTTCTGTTTCAACAGTTAAACCTTTGCGGCATGGTATGTGGTATTAGATTACCCAATATAGATAGAGCGTAAGAGGTTTTAAAACGCTGTCAAAGAGAGTGGTTAAAGTTGATAAATATGTAAAGCATATATCATCTTAAATTTAATTAAGTAATCCAAAGGAGGGGAAATTACCTTTATTGCTTATGGCTATCTTTTGCGTAACTAATAATGACCTCAAATTGTGTTTATATATCTTTTCAAAGTTTATAGAAAAAAAAACTGTTTCAGTCTGCTTTTCTTCTGCTATTACATCTTTCTTTTCTCCAAAATTTCTTTGAAAAAAACGCTGTATTTTACTAATTTGTTAATAGTTTTTTTTTTCATTAGAAAACTAACATAAAACCTAAGAAAAAATTCTTTATCTTTTTTTCCCATTCTAATTTTACGTCATCTAAATTCTTGCGTCAGAAGCAGTCTGCTCCAACTGCTTCTAAAGTCTTTTTGTTGTAAAGATTCAAAAAAATTTTTACAACATTAGCCAAACAAAAAACTCAGAGCAAGGTGTATGGTTCCTTTTATAAAAATACTCTTAACATATAGTATTATAGAAATTATCACCAAGTTATACTTATAGCAAATTTAAAGTTATATAGTTAATATACCTTACTGAGATAAGCTAGAACCAACTTGAAGTAGAGATATTTTCAAAAAAATATTTTGTACTTTTAAAAAACTAACGTTTAGAAGACGTTTAGAACGTAACATTTAAAATAAATGCCTTTTGGGAATTATCTCGAAATGATAGATTTTTTTTCTTTTGTTTATTTGTTTTTGTTTTTTAATCAGCAAAATGATGTAATGGTTTTTTCTTAAATCTTGTTCTTTCTACTTATATTTTATTGCCAACGTTCTAATTTTTTTGCATTTAATGTGGAGGTTTGAATTAACTGACAAGTTGGGTCGGAAGATATTCTCCAACCTATTAAACGGTATGTTAACATACTACTTGAAGTATTTGTAATAAACATTTGTTTTTTTTCAAAAAGCTTATAGTCTCTTCTTCTTTCCAAGACAATATTTAGTTAAACATAGAAAAAAATGCTGATATTTCAAGGTCTAAACTGTTTTCTCTTAACTAAAAATAAAGTTTCCTAGCTATAAACTTTTATAGCTGTCTTCTTTTAAAATAAAAAAGATTCATATAAACAAAAAAAATAAGACAATAAAAAAAATTCATTTTAACCTTCGTTTAAATGAATCTTTTTTATTGTCTTTTATCAAGACAAATTTATGATTTTTAGAAGTCATTGAAAATATTTAGAAGACTATAACGATACATATTTTGACTTGTCATCAAATGTTATCCCAATTCGTCAAAAAGCATTTGAACAATTTCAAATAAAGAATCTATTTCAAAAAAATAAGTTAAAAAATATAAAAATAAGTTAACAAAAATACATATTCAAGTAATATTATTAATTATAAATTTATAAATAGTAATAAATATTTTAGTTTTATGACGATCTTGTTCTATCTCCACTTTAAAAAAAATTTAAGTTGATTGTATTAGTTACCTCAGAATAATGTTTTTCTATTTAATTGAAACCTTTATAAATAAAAAAGTTGCTTGGAAAACAAAAGTAATAACAATTATTTCCTTTGGGATCGCCATAAATAACGTCAAGCATTGTTTGACCATTTTCGACCCCCTCCCCATATCACAATAACGCCGTCGCCAAAACTTTTTAAATCAATAGTTATCTCAAAAGATTAATTTGATTAAGATGATTTAAATCTCGCAGATTAACACAGAAAAAGTTATTAGATCTATTTATACTCCTGCCATCCTTCCTCGTTTAATACTTTTTTACTTTTCCTAAGTAATTTAGTAGTTGTCGTTATCATTTGTTATATTATTATTAAGTTTTTATTTTTATTTTTTGTGTTATAGCCTAGAGTAGTGCTCATCTATCTACTTTGAGACGTAATTTAAATTTACTTTTTTGAAGGAACTTTAAAGATATTTGATTTAACATTCGTTTTAAAATATTAATACATTCATGTTTTTTAATGTTTAATAATTAATTTTTTGCCTTTGAAACAATTGATACTCTAAATCAAAATGTTCTCCTTTATAAACACAAAGATGAGTTGTTTTAACCATAAAAATTTATTTCCTTTGGCTTTAAAGTTTTTGTTTTATTCAACCTAATAAATAAAAATATTTACGCATTTATTAGTTTATTTGTTTTACAGCCAATCCTAGGACATTAGACAAACTGTCTAGTTATCTAAGTCAGAATAATAAGATTCACTAAATATCGATTAATTTTAGTTATGTCAATGTTAAAATGGCTCTAAGGGACTTTAAGTCTTAAAAAAAAAACGGGGAGACTTAATTCACTTGTTCAAGTCATTAAACCATAAAGAATTTGCTTATCTTTATTTCAAACCAGTACTTTAGTCCATTGTAGGATTATACATACATGCATACATACATACATACATACATACATACATACACACATACATAGATACATACATACATACATACATACATACATACATACATACATACATACATACATACATACATACATACATACATACATACATACATACATACATACATACATACATACATACATACATACATACATACATACATACATACATACATACATACATACATACATACATACATACATACATACATACATACATACATACATACATACATACATACATACATACATACATACATACATACATACATACATACATACATACATACATACATACATACATACATACATGAACGTTTTAGACGTCTTTTAAACGTTCAAAAATCGTCTTTTTCTGGTTCCGTGCCCATTGGGTACATACATACAAACATTTTTTTTTCCTTGTTAAATTAATTCCTTTTATTCTTCTTCTTCTTAAAAATACTTTTTTTAAGTGGTTGTTAATTTTACATAATCATAACTTTTTCGGAAATTTGAAACTGGTCAAATGTGAAATTTGTGAAATTCGAATCAGTTTCAAACTAATTTTAGCCAGTAGCAAAAAATCTCAGCGTCCCTAAAAACACCATAATTTAAAAAATAGGACACCTTTACTCAAGAGTATAATTAAAACGATGTGAATTTTTGTCCTAGGATTGAGTTCCCTAAATGACTTTAAAAAATAAACACGTCTAGCCCACACTGCACAATTTGATTGGTGGTCCTATTATAGAGATAGTTGTGATAAATTTGTGTAAACTCGTAGTAGCTAATAAAAAGTATACCTGATTTTTTTGAATTCTATCAACTGTTGCAACTTTCCAATATAATTAGTAAAGACTCAGGCGTTACCGTTTTTTTATAATGTTTAGCTTTTGAGAATATGTTTGTCTATAGCATTATCTATAAAGTACTCAAGAAAAAAAATGAATAATAGATAACATGATAAAAGGAAATCTGTTTTATAAAACCACAATAAAATAACAACAATCACCTTGACATTGCGATAACACGAAAAAAATGACGATTGTAAAATAGTTTTTAAAATTTTAATTTTAATTTCTGTATTTGTATCTTTTAAGTTTTTATTATAAAACTGATGTACAAATTTTAGTTGCGTTCTCATTTAAAATAATATCTTAATAAGAATTTTCTTTGGTTTGTCTATTGATATATAGCTTGTTGATAAGGATGCATTCGTTTGTCTGTTTTTAGTTACCAATAACATTGACATTTTTAAAAAATTATTTTTACGTTTGACATTTATGAAAAACAATACCATATATTCCAATTTTTTTCAATAACTCGAGAATAGAATTTATGAAAATATTTCTCACACGTAATGACAAACATTTTTATAGAAAACAAAGTTTCTACTTCACTTAACGGCCTTTTAAACAATTTCTATAATAAAAGAATACAGTGATTAAAATGTAGCGGTTCAATACCACTCAACAAAACTCCTTTTCTATAATTTTTTATGTTCAATTACAATTTAATGTATTTATATTATAAACTATATTAAAATTTACCTTAAAAGGCAGGACAGTCATCCGTAAATAAAATAAAACATAATACAAAAAATACGGAAACTAACTATAAAGTTTTAATCAACATATGCGATGTCTTTGAGCGCCAGAAACATTTTCAAAACTGTCTTCTTAAAAAAGTAACGTTAATCGGTTACTGTCAATTTATATAATCCATAGAAAGATTATTCGTGATATTTACTTAAAAATTAAGGTTTAGAAAGAAAACAAACTTACAAAAAAAACTTTGTAAAAATCAGAAAAATTGATTTGAATAAAAATGCATAAATTTGCCGTTTTACTAAAAAGTGTTTCTACTTTTTTTGTTTCTTTTTATTTTCTTAAATTTTTTAATTTGAGTTTTGCCTCGTTTCTCGAAACTATTTGAGGGCATAATTAAAAGAGGGAACTCTATAACTATCTTGCTAAGTTTAACTTGTTGTAAAGAAAACAGTTTGGTTTTAAAAAATGTATTTAACTGAAATGTGTTCAACTGAACTGTAGCAGCTAATTTAGTCAAGGGCACATCCGAGGCTATTAAAAATGGTTTTACATTTAGAGAGTTTTCAACTGTTTAAAGCCGTTAATACCGTAAACTATAATATAAGGTACATTAAACTTTATGGAATTAGAAACAAATATTTACTTTGGTTAAAAAACATTTGTTAAACAGAAAGCATATGCCAATATAAGAAACAATTGCTACCATTTAAAAGAAACATTAAACAAAAACACTTAAGCGCTCGATAACTTGTCTTATTTCCAGGACTTTATTTAAGTCATTATTGTAAATTTATCATTATATATTACTAAACCTTATAAATTTTAATGCGTTAAAAAAAAAATCATTGAAAAAAGTTTAAAATCGTTTATGAATTATTATATATATATCTATTATATACACTAATATATATATATATATATATATATATATATATATATATATATATATATATATATATATATATATATATATATATATATATATATATATATATATATATATATATATATATGTATATATATATATATATATATATATATATATATATATATATATATATATATATATATATATATATATATATATATATATATATATATATATATATATATATATATATATATATATATATATATGAAAAATTATATTAAGTTAACGAGGGGTTTATAAGTAAAAAACATTTATTTAATGTAGATAAAACTAAAGTTATCTTGCTCTGTAAGTTAATTAAAACTGATAACATTTCCTTAAAATTACCAAGTTTTAATTTATAAATAAAACTTTTATTAAAATGGAATTATTGGCAAATTAAAGTTAAAGTCGGATGAAAGCTCACTATTTAAGATTTGAAATAATAAGATATATATTTTTATTTTTTTATATAATTCAATTTGTGTGCCTTATTAAAATCATTATCACAACGTCTTGACTAATATCCGGCTTTAGGCAAAATTTTGTTCTAAGTAATTTCAGAATTCCATCAAAAAGATTGAACAATATAAACAAGGCCGAAAAATTTAAATTCAACAAGCAAATGTCATTTTTAGCCATAATTGAGGAACTGTTTGTGTCGTATCACCTGAACTGACAGCTATATTTGATCAAAATAGACTGAGTGACCGGGCTGCTATGATGGTCGTCTTCGAGGTTTCATAGGTTCTAGGACATGACTCTAAAACTTGTTTTGAACAGGTCAACTTTCTAGAGATTACGTTGGAAGCACAGAGAAAAAGCTAGTGTTGTTATCGACTTCAACAAAATCGACTAAATGTTGAATAATAGAAAGTCGAAATTAGTCGACTTTGAAAAATTGAATAGTCGATTTAATCGTCCTCGACTAAATTGACTAAAAGTCGATTTAGTCGAGTAAAAATCTTAAAATTTTTTATCTGTTTATTCGATTTAACTTTTCAAACTTTAAATTTTGTTTGTTCGTTTAGTAACAAAAGCATGTACTATTGTAACAATTACCTACTTTTTTGTTTATTCTCTAAAAGTTTTATCTAAATGCATGTTAGCATTAATTATGCTCTTCCGCGGTGCTCTGTGAGAAGACCGTACAAACCGTACGTAAAGACTTCTAGAAGCACCTTAATAACTACAAAAAAATAAAAAAATTATTTCTAATGAAACTTTCGGTTATGTGTTTTATAAAATTTTTTTTTCATCTTTTGTTTACTCGATGCTTTTTATTTTCATAAATACTTTCATACAGGGCTGCTCCAAGTTGGCACGGGACCCTGAAGCAAAATTAAGCTGAGAAGCTTCATAATCTAAATGTCATCTATACAATCGCATTGTAGATATGATTTTAAAGACTTTGCAGGGGCTAATCCACCATTTTTTGATGTTTGAAGTAGATAACTTCTAAACATCGAAAAAATTCCAAATATTTATATGAATATAGTTTTATCAAAAAGATGCTTTGCAAAAAATTGCTATGATTGGAGCCTGGGAACAAAAAAGCCCTGAAATTTTAGCCACACCTGCCCCAAATGTGAGAGCAGCAAGTTGATAAAATGTTTTTTTTACTATTCTCAACCAAGTTTTTCATCAATAATACATTCATCAATAAATTTTAAAGCTCACACAATAATCTCTTTGCGTTCAACGATTTTGGCCTTATAAAATTTGAACCCTTGAAATTGAGGTGGTCCAAATTTTTATGGTCACAGTTTTTGAGCGCTAAGAAATTATTGCGTGATTTTTGAAATTTGTCGATGACCAGAAATTTAGTTGAGAATAATAAAAAAAAATATTTTATCAACTTGTTGTCTTCACGTCTAGGGTAGATGTAGCTAATATTTTAAAGTTTTTTTACTCCTTGGCTCTTCGGAGTTTCTTCAAACATTAAAAAATGTTGCATTCGCGTCTGCTTTGATATACAGCAAGTACCTAAGACAGTCTCCTGATGTCGGAGAAGCCCTTTTCTCATATTGTTTCGCTCCATTAATTTTTAAATAATACGATGTTAAAAAATAGAAAACAAACATAATTTCAGTATTTTTATTACACTTTATTTCAAAAAAGAAAGGTTTCCAAATTTCGGCTAAATCGATTTACAGTCCATTGGGATGGTAAACTGATGCTGGAGTTGACCAGCACAGAGAAAGTTGACAGGCTGCCAATTTTAGTTACAACAATGGATAAGAAAAAGCTTTTGAAAATTCTAAATATTAATACAGGTGCTGGTTAAGTAGACGCATTTTCTTTTTAGAAAAAGCGTCCACTTAACCAGTATTTTTAACTAGTTTTTATAATTCTATTTAGATATGGTAGCTGGAAAACTTGGTCCGAGGCTTGTGTTCTGATATCATCAGCTCAAATACTAGCCAGTTGTCAAGTGCTTGCATCATTCTTGAGCATCTACTAGGTAGGCCATTTCTTTATTTTTGTTGTCGTCATACGGTATTGAAGTTTGCTCTTTAGTTCACAGTTTAAACTCACCAAACAAGAAACTCATGGTCTTCTACAATATATTTCTTTCAAAAGTATATTTCAATCTTTGGCATTTATCGCTGAAATTTGAAGCCGCAAGAAATGATCTGAAAGAGCTTTAACAACTAAGCGCATAACGTAATCTTGCGCATAAAGTGATCGTTGCCGCAACATCATGCAAGACTGCAGGTCACATATGGTATCTGTTAAAAGACCTGATCATGTTTAGCTTCTTCAATCCTGATGGTGAAAGTATTGTTGTCGAAAGAAGGAGAAGCTTGTTATAAAAAGAGCCAGAAACCTGTTTTTACATTAGGTATACCCGATGGATTTCTACTCAAAAATACAAAATCGTGTAGCAGTAAAGATTTCATGGCAGCGGGAGTTATAGCGAAAGACAAAGTTGTTAGGACAAAGTTGAAGGACAAAGTGTTGTAATATGAGGAGAACAGTTGAAATATGAAATCTAATTCATTGAACTGAACCGGGCATATTTTCCGATGCAAAGATTAACACTACCTAAAAAACTGTGAAAATTTACGGATTATTTATGGCTCACCTCACACAGTTGCTAATAGTTTATTAAAACTGATAAATTTTTTACAGTTACAATTAGTTTCTGATTAGATTGTTGTATATTGTATCTATGATTAGATTGTAGTATATAGTATATCTACTATAGCATATTTATGTAACAAATTGTTACTATATTTTTACAACATCAATTAAATATGAATTTTCAGGAAAAAAAAAAGAATAATGAATGAAAGGATTGCTTCCCCATGCCAAATTCTCAGTATATATCAGCACTCCGCTAGGGGTCATGCTATTCTATTCGTCAGGCTATGTCTTATCCCACCCTGTTTTTTTTTTTTAAATTAAAAAAAAAAAACAGGGTGTTTTTGTCCGTTTTTTGCTATTTGGCTACATGTTACAATTGTCTACACACAGTGACTAAAAATAATTTTATTTAAACCTTTACAACTAGTTGGTAGTGTTCTTCGATGATTTGATTTATTTTTGATTTATTTTAGATTATTTTTAACAAGTTTTTCTTGAAAAAAATCATTTTTTTTAGTTGACATGCTCTTTTCCAATAATCAGCCTTGGCTTCATTAGCATTAGCACACTATCTGATCATATTCACATCAAACGAATCTGTCAAAAAAATGTTTAGGGAGAAGAGGGATTAGTGTTAAAGATATTAAAACTGCCCAATTTTATCTTCTGTAAGCATAATTTACTTCGTTTTATTATTTTTTAACATAAAACAATGGCAAAGATTTTTAACTTATTTAAGAGTTAAGGTGGTACTTGGGTGAAAAATCCAAATTCTTTATTTCTTACTATTTAAATTTGATATTTTGGTACAATAAATATATGCAGGTAACTATGCCTTTTTTTAAAAAAAAAAAAGAAAAAAATTTACAGAAAACCCTTTTTTGGGTCCAAAGGTCTCAAAATGGTCACTTTGCGGTGCATCAAATTCAGAAAAAACCACCAGTAGAATGATAATAAAATTTTAACAGTTTGTTTATAGTATAATTTTACAGGTATGGGAGCAGAATTAGCCTGATTGCATTACTAGATCTAAGGTAAATAAAATTCAAATACCTTGCTTATAAAAAAGCTTAAAAATAAAACTTTGGGCTTGGGTAACTCTAGACCGAAAAAAAAATTTTCAAAAAATGTTGGTTCTAAACCTGTATCTTATAAAAAAAATAACCACCATATAAAATTTCAAGAGTAAAGCTCAAATTGATCAAAAGTTATATGACGCACCGTTCAAAAAATTCAATTTTGAGATAAATGCAATTTAAGTATATTTAATAATATACTAAAATATCACTAAATTTCTTTTAAAGATTAAAAAAAAAAAAAGATTTTCATGATTGATCACCGTAAATAAAAAATAATAAAAATCTCTAATATAAACCATAACCATACTTCATTTCTTCTGATTGATTAGTATTTGTGAAACTTTTTATGAACTCTTTGAATAAACTTTTTTCGATTTCCTTTTCATTGACATTACTCTTTGGTTGTTATTTGAAACACAGAACTAATTTGCATAAAATCCTGGAATACCTATACCCTTTAAAACCTTTTGAGTTCTATTTGAACTATCATTAACATTTATAACTGCAGAAGCTACACCTAGCTCAACAGTGGTTTTACAAACGTAGATATCTTTTTGAAACCCTTTCCAAATCATTCCATTTAGTGACTCATTTATTTATTAGTTATTTTGAGTTTTGCCATAAAGATATTTTTTTTATAAATTGTCATCACTCAAACCTAAAAAAAACAGGTTTTATTTCTTCAAGAACAACAATTGGTAATTCCTTCCTTATGTTTGTATGTTGCTATGCCATTTATTTTGTCAGCCTGATATTTACAGCAACTATCAGGAGTACATGGGCACATTTGATGCCATCTATATTTTTATAATATCTTTTGCTTAAGGGCAATGGAAAAGCACTGTTCCAAATACTTTTTTCATCCACAGAGTTTTTCTAAACTGGTATAACTTTTTCCAATTTCCGTCATAGCAATAACAAAACGTATATAAACCTCAAACAGGTCTACCACGACTGCTTTTGCATTTACATTCTTTACTTGATTGAAAAGTTGCACACCAACAACAACTTGAATATTGTAACAATAATGGTATAGACAAGCCTTGCTTTCTCAAGACGTTAAATGTTCGACTCATAGTCTTTTTGTCACATTCAGGGCATGTTGCAACTAAATTAATAATTTCCATAAAAATGTTAATAGAAAAAAGTATAAAAAACTAATAATATAGAGTTGGGTTAGAAGAATTTAAACAAGGAAACAAACTGGTGTCATTGGTGAATGAAGATGATGCAAAGTTTGTTGACCTGGCTTCATTAGTGATTTTAGAAGGTAATGATGTGCCTCATGATAAATATGACAGATTTATTTGAAAAAATAGGTGGGTTAGAAGGAGGAATCTCAGCTGGTTCTTCTCATGTTTTTTGTGTGTGTGAGTTAGTTACCTTTGAATGTCCGTTTAGAAAATGCTTTAAAGTGGCCAGATTTTCTTTGTAACATAGCTTGACTCTTTTTTTAACTTTTGTTGTTGTTTATTTTAGTTACATTTTAATTAAATTTTAAAGATAATAAAAGCAATGATTTGTGTTTTATCTTTTGTTTTGTAAGACATGTATTTTTAAAGCTAAAAAACTTTAAGGGCTTAGTAATAAGACAAACTTTGGTACCTTATTGTTTCGACTAATTTTAACAGCTTACTGTCTATACAAATATTTATTTATATATCAGGTTATTGTAAATATTTATTTATATTTCTATTGTGTTATAACACAATAGTATATAAAATTTATAATAAAAAAGCTAACAAATGTAAAGATTTTAATGCAAATGTTTTTTTGTATATCTAGTTCTTAAAACTATTGAAAAAAGACTGGAAAATATATTGTTATAAAAAAAATTCGAATTATAATTTTTATGAAAAGATAAAAAAAATTGTTTTCCATTTTATATGCTCTAAATTTTACAACCTTCACCAAGGATTAATAAAGAATTAACTAGGAGAAAACCAACTCATAGTTATCTTGACCTGATTGAGCAATTGCATCAGAAATAATAGCCGCGTGTTATACCTTTAATGTTAATCTCTTACTGCAATTTGCACTGTCTGAATAAAGATGCTTTTTAGGAAAACAAATTTATCTGCTCTAATACCTTCTATTATGTTTATGCAGTAAAAATTATCTGTTAGTCAATGTGTTTACATTTCGGAGGGTACGAAAAGTGTGCCGATTTTGCATAATATATATTTTTAAAATATCTACACAACAGCCTGATAAAATTATTCGATTTTACTATGCTAATTATGTTAAATATTTTAGAAAAGCAAAAAAGTTATGAAATACCAGGTATGCCGGTATGAAGTGAGCGTCAAGATACAAATGTCTCGATAGAGAACATTTGTTGTGAACGAGCCTTTATTTTTTTTTGTTTGTTTGCTATGACATCTGTGAAACATATTTAGTATACATCAAGTCATTGAACCGACAACATCATATTTTTTCATCGTGTTAAAAATGTCGAATTTTGTACCGGAAAGTGATGCTTTGCGGAAAGCATTAATTTTTTGTTTTCATTTGAAGAAATGTGCTGCAGAGTCGCATCGAATGCTTGTCGAGGCATATGGTGATCATGCTCTATCAGAAGCAACATGCAAAAGATGGTTTCAACGGTTCAGAAATAATGATTTTGATGTGAGAAATGAAGAACGTGGAAGACCACCAAAAAAGTTTGAAGACGCCGAATTGCAAACGATATTGGATGGAGATGACACTTTGAGTCAAAAGCAAATGGCAGAAATGTTAAATGTTGCACAACAAACAATTTCTTACCGTTTAGAAGCTATGGGAAAGATCCAAAAGTGTGGAAAATGGGTGCCACATGAATTGAATGAAAGACAGATGGGAAACCGAAAAAACACTTGTGAAATTTTGCTTCGAAGACACGAAAGAAAATCGGTTTTGCATCGGATTGTTACTGGCGATGAAAAATGGATTTATTTTATGAATCCTAAACGGAAAAAGTCATGGGTTAATCCGGGACAACCATCAACATCGACTGCAAAACCAGATCGATTCGGCAAGAAGACAATGCTGTGTGTTTGGTGGGACCAGAAAAGTGTGGTGTTCCACGAGCTCCTAAAACCTGGTGAAACCGTCAATACTGATCGTTACCGACAACAAATGATCAATTTGAACCATGCATTGATCAAGAAACGACCAGAATGGGCCAGAAGACACGGCAAGGTAATTTTGCTCCATGACAATGCACCTGCACACAAAGCAAAACCGGTTCAGGATACAATCAAAACACTTGGCTGGGAGCTGCTACCCCACCCGCCGTATCCACCAGACTTGGCTCCTTCCGACTACCATTTGTTTTCATCGATGGGACACGCATTGGCTGAGCAGCACTTTGATTCCTACGAGGAGGTCGAAAATTGGGTGTCTGGTTGGTTTGCTTTAAAAAATGAACAATTTTATTGGCGTGGTATCCACAAATTGCCAGAAAGTTGGTCAAAATGTGTAGAAAACAATGGCCAATACTTTGAATAAAATGTTTTATACTTTCCCATTAATAATTAGTGTTTTATTTTCACAAAAAACGCTCATTTCATACCGGTATACCTGGTAAATGCTTTGTTCGATTTTATTTTGGTAAATCATGTTGAATAGCTAGTGAAGTGAAAAAGCAAAAACCGTTAGATTATCGTGATTTATCAAGCCAATATGTCATGTATTGGTAGACTATATTTTCTCGTTGAAGATTACTCAAAAACATTTTTATCATTTTAAGAAACAAAAAAAGCACAAGCTGTTTATTTCACAGAACAGAATATTTACATTTATAAATATTAAAAGAAATAAACTTTGCTTGCTTGTTGAAGTTTTTCATTCCATAACTAATTTATATCGTTTAAAATTTATTGCGTATACCGATACTATGTCGTTTTCTATAACCTCGTCTCTATAACCTCGTCTTTTTAACTATGCTCTTCAAGCTCATTGATTTAATAAGTGAAAAAACTTACTAAAAAAAATATTTTTATTAATATCAAAATATTTTGAAAATATAAAATATTAAAATGTCTTATACGTTTAATGTGAATTATGTATATATATATATATATATATATATATATATATATATATATATATATATATATATATATATATATATATATATATATATATATATATATATATATATATATATATATATATATATATATATATATATATATATATATATATATATTTATATATATGTATATATATATATATATATATATTTATATATATATATATATATATATATATATATATATATATATATTTATATATATATATATATATATATATTTATATTTATATATATATATATATATATATATATATATATATATATATATATATATATATATATATATATATATATATATATATATATATATACATATATGGTTATATATATACATACACATATATATATATATATATATATATATATATATATATATATATATATATCTATCTATCTATCTATCTATATATATATATATATATATATATATATATATATATATATATATATATATATATATATGGTTATATATATATAATTATATTTATATATATATATATATATATATATATATATATATATATATATATATATATATATATATATATATATATATATATATATATATATATATATATTATATATATATATATATGATTATATATATATAATTATATTTATTTAAATATATATATATATATATTTATATATATATATATATATATAAATTAATTTTTTAAAAATACAACAAAGATTTACCGCTATCTGTAATTTACCACTTGATCTAAACAAAAAAAATTTTATTTGAAAATATTATTTAACATATTTATTTCATAAACAAATATAAAATATATTTTTTACTTGTAATGTCTTCTTCTCAACAAAATTGCAATTAAAACTACAAATGAACCAATAACAAACACACCAACTGCAATACCAACTGGAATACCAATTGCATTACGTTTTTTTCTTCCATTTGAATTTAATAATTCCTAAAAAGAAATTTAATAAAAAAAAATTCTTTAAAAATTTTGTGCTTTAAAAGTAGACTTTAAAGCACAAAATATTTAAAGAATTAAAAAAAAAAAAAAGGAGAAAAAAAAAAGGAGAAAATTATTACCATAGTAACACTCATTGTTTCTACTGTTGATACTTTAATGGAAGTAGAATTCAAAATAGAAAAAATGTTCAAATCTGAGTTTAAAACATTTAAACTGCTAATTGAAAAATTCCAAATATTTTTTGATGATGGCATTATTATAGGCGATTTAGTGATTGATTTTGTAATATACAACGAAGTCAATATTTCTGAAGGCGTTGGGGTTGAATAATTAATTAAAGATGGATCATTGCTAGCAATGCTTCTGGTTTCTAAAAGCAAAAATATATAAGTAATGACAAAACATCATTTTAATAAAAACCACTCATTAATTAAAAATGCACTTAAAATCAACATAATCGTCAACGCTTATCACTAAATAAAGTTTAAAGATTATTTGTAAACTATGTATGATTAGATTATGATAGCCTCCTCTTATTCCCCACTCATTCACACACATATCAATAAATAAAGATTTTGATATGCATGAAACATTAATGACGACATCATAGTGAAACATGCCTTTTATACACTATTAATATCGTTTTATCTTCATTTTAATCATCCATACAGTCATGAAACGGTGATTTTATAGACACTCTATTAATATCGTTTTCTCTTAATTTTTTTAATCATGCACGCAGTCATGGAACGATGATTTCTAGTGTACCGCATGCAATAACATTATGATTAGAAAAATGTAAAAAAATGTATGTGTTCAAAACTTTGTGTTTATGTATGTATACAATTTATGTGTGTATATATATAGTTTATAATTAATTTATTATATAAATAATTTATTATGTATATAATTTGTAATATATTTGTGTATATTTATGTATATAAAACTTTGATCCCTAAAAAATAACCTAGAGCTAATGATTAAATAATTATTAAAAAAAATCAAAAAGCGTGAACACTACCTAAAGGTAAAACAGATGGCAAGCACATGTTTCTTGCTAGTGGTCACCATTTAGCTCTTTTAAGGTGTATAGCCCTCTTATTTATAATTGGAGGTCACTCATTTTTATGGCACTTTTATGCCCAACTATCAATCTATAAGCTAAAACTTTGAGATCATTAGTTTATGATAGAACGAGTGAGAAATGAATTTATACTAGATAAACTTTTGATAAAAATATTCTTAAATGAATATTTATATCATAAGTTGAATTTCAGATTAAAAATGGACCTTCGAGTTTTTAATCTTGCTAGAGTTAGAGTAGTTAAATTGCAAAACAAATGAAAGCAATATACCTAATTTAAAATTTTTTGTTATCATTGATAAAGCCTCCATTAAAATAAGTAAATATGTGCAAGTAATTTTTTTTGAAGGTTGAAATGGGGAATGAACAAAAAAAAAATTTTTAAATTTAGTACATTTGGAATTACAAACCGTTAAACATAATTGCTGGAAACATTAAAACTAAATAGGTTTTCCAAAGATTTTTTGAAAAAAATCTGACTGGATTTTGTTCTCACGGTGCAAAAACTATGCTCAGCCAAAAGCCAGGGGATACTACAAGATTTCTACTAAACATTTCTACCGTAATAGTTTGCCATCGTTTAAGTTATTACCTTCAGTTTGTTTTAAATGATGCAAGAAGTATATTGTCAGTCAAATAGAAATTTTCTTGCATAAAATATCTGAAGGATTGAAAATTGATATAATTAAAATTGGTTATATTGAAAAAAGCATCATGCAGCCTAAGATCTGTTTCTGCTTTTTTACCGCTATTTCCACCTTTTTAAATATACAGGTCGTACTATGCTCTATAATGTTTAATATAAATGTAAGAGACAAAAAATGTACTACAAAAATAAAGAAGAAAAAAAAATTGCAAATTTAAAAGACTTAATAAAAAACTATTGCTATTCTTTTAAAATTTTCATTTATCAATAATAATAGAATTCTGTTGAGAAATAATGCCATGTTAAATCTTTTACAGACAAAATGAGAAAAATTAAATAAATCTGAAAATCTTTTAAGTTTAACTTCAAATAAGTCAATATTTTTAACTTCTATTATTTCGATTTGTAATATATTCCTGAATTTTTGCTTTAAAACCACTGACCCTGCTGGCACTAAAGTACATAAATTCTGGATTTCTTATTTTCTTACTCAGTTAACCTTGTGACTCATTTTTCAGACAACCTTAATCACTTATCTTCACTCCTCGATTTGTTTCTTGTCTCTGAATATGACTATGCTCATGTGTTCAGTTTCTCCTTGTTTTTTTTTAGGTGATTCCGACCATGCAATGATCTTTATAAATCTTTCATCTGGTGCTTCCTCTATGGACTCACTCTATCATCGCACTACTTACTACTATCCTAAAGCTGATTGAAATTCATTTTATGATTTTCTTTTTGACGTCCATAGGCTGACGACTTTCTTTCTCTGCTGATAAATGTGCTGTGTTACTATGTCACTTCAACAATGTGATTAAAAAAGTCAAACATTCCCTCTTTAATTATTAGGTCTGATCTCATTACCTCATTAAAAGATAAGACAGAACTATTTGCAAAAAACTTTTTCTTTAATTTTTAACTCTTGAATGTAATGGATATATTTTCCTACTATTCTAGTTAAATAAGTTAACCGCTAAGAAGCCAGAGTGGTTTGGTTGTAAGACATTTAAACCACTCTGGCTTCTGTTGTTAAAGTCATTTGAGAATCATTTAATTGTGTAGTAATTAAAATCAATTATCTAAAGACTATTTAATCAATTTGGTAGCATTTATGATGTTATTAGGTTATTATTATTTTCATTTGAACGATATAAAGAATAATTTTTCTATAGGTGTATTTGAAAGTTCATTAAACTAAATTTCAGTAATGAAATAAACTAATTTGATAACGAAGTAAACTAATTTCCAGTAAAATTTAGAAAACATGCCTTAAACATAATTCATTTATTTAAACATGAGATTAGGATGAAAACAGTTTAGGTTTGAGTTGGTGTTAAATCATAGTTTATATAAACATCTTCAGATATTTATTTATATTATTTTTAAGATAGATATTTATATTATGTTTAAGATAGATATTTATATTATGTTTAAGGAAAATATTTATATTATTATTAAAAAAATTTATAATACTTTATACATTATAAACTTTTTATGTTGGCTTGCAATAATAAAGAACAACAGAGCTCGCCATTCGACCTTTTTATGTTGGCTTGCAATAATAAAGAACAACAGAGCTCGCCATTCGACCTTTTTATGTTGGCTTGCAATAATAAAGAACAACAGAGCTCGCCATTTGACCTTTTTATGTTGGCTTGCAATAATAAAGAAAAACAGAGCTCGCCATTCGACCTTTTTATGTTGGCTTGCAATAATAAAGAACAACAGAGCTCGCCATTCGACCTTTTTATGTTGGCTTGCAATAATAAAGAACAACAGAGCTCGCCATTCGACCTTTTTATGTTGGCTTGCAATAATAAAGAAAAACAGAGCTCGCCATTCGACCTTTTTATGTTGGCTTGCAATAATAAAGAAAAACAGAGCTCGCCATTCGACCTTTTTATGTTGGCTTGCAATAATAAAAAACAACAGAGCTCGCCATTCGACCTTTTTATGTTGGCTTGCAATAATAAAGATAATTTGCCTTCTTGTTGTTCTTGTTCTTATAAAAAAGATTTAAAAAATGATTATGGTTTATTAAAGCAACTGCTCAAGATGGTGAAATATTTTTTTATTTATTTATATGCTGGCATACAATATCCTAACATATTTATATAAATTTTAGTATTTATATGGTGCCAAATGAGAAGATTATCAGATGGATGAGTGGTATGACTAACGAGACGAGAAAAGAAACAATCTAAGATAAAGAAAAAAAAAACATTATATTGAACAACATTTGTCAGAAAATATTGAAGTGATTTAGGTATCAGAATGTATAGAGGTAGCAGCTTCAGGAGAAAATGGTAGTGGTAGAAAACTAGTAGAGAGTGCCTTACATATTGTACGAATGAGCATAAGTTAAGGAAAAAAGATGCTTAAGAATGTTTTTATTAGAGAAACAGCATAAAAGAGGAAGGCTAAAGCTAGATGATGACAATGAAAATAATGGTGATGATGTTTAATGATGATGATCATGCTGATCATAATGAGGTTCATATATGCATATATACAAAATGTAACATGAAACTTGAATCAAAAATATATACTTTCGGATGTATAATTGTTTATGCAGCCCTTATCACAAACTCCGGCCCCAGTCAAATTTCAACCTTTGTTATTTACTACATTGTACTAATAATATCAAACAAGTTAGATTTATTTATTTAATTTATTTTTTAATTTAAAAATCTAAACTGAAAGTTTTTACTGGATTTCTATTAACACTATAGAACTTTTTACTAAATTTTCTACCTTATTTCTATCTTCAAATTAATTTAATCTTCAAATTTTGATGTTTATTAAAAAATTCTTCTAGTGAGATTTCTACTCTTTGAAAGATTATTTCAGCAAACTCATTTTGTAAGTAAAAATAATTTTCGAAAAACTTTAAATACTTTTGAAATTGATAAAATAGTAAATTTGATAAAATAAATAAAATGAAAAATTGATAAAATAGAAAATTTGAAACCAAATAAACTTATTCCAAATATAATTGATAAAATGAATTCGATATTGTTGAATTGAAAGCATATATGAAAGACCAAATTAAAAAAAAATAATACAGCAGAGTTATTCAACTTAAGATAAGTGAATGAAATTTAGATGTTAAATACATGTAAATACTTGTATTAAAAAATTTTTTAAACTTAAATATAGTTATTTGTAAATTTTTTTTTTCATGTAAATTTACCTCCCTAAGACCAATAAGACACTGCAGACAAGGAGGCTACTTAATTGTGATTTTAACCCTCTCTTAACTCTATAACTCTGTAAAACAAACCTTTACAAACAAGGCCACTGCGCAGAGAAACAAGTTGAAACTAAACTCCAATAAACAATTTCAAAGATTGTGAGCAAATTGTAATTCAGAGAAAGAAATGCATAATAAACAATGGACTGAATATAACTAAATACATATAATTCACATAAAATACAGTCTTTTTTAGGGAATAATATTTGGACATCAAAATGAGCTAATTTCTTATCTTACTGCATTCTCAATTTAATCACTGTAAATATGATTGCCAATTTTTCAAGGGCTTAAAACTAATGAAAACATAAATTGTTTCTCCTTATATTTAAAAAAGAACCTGTTCAATATCTAGTACACTTTTAGTATCACTTTTAGAACACCTAGAATAAATAATAATTAAGAAAATGTGTAGAAATTAAAATTGAAACGAACCATTTATAAAAGATTTTAATTAAAAATACTTCTAAATCAAATTTAAATAAAGAGTTGCAACCAATTTGTAATTCTTAATCTTATGAAGTGGTTACTACTCTTGAGTTAACTCTAAGTTTTTGGTGTAATGAATGTAATCAGAATGGAGTAACGGTAGAGTGCTAGCGTTGCAATTGAGAATTTTCAAGGTTGATCCCTACCATATCTCAATTTAGCTCAACTTATTTGTTAAGTTTGCGTTTCGGAGTTAAAGGGATGAATGTGAGAACAATAACCAAAAAAATAATCATAACAGTAGGGAGACATTGTTAAAAAAGTATTTTAGATGTGTATTGGAACTTATTGCTGGAACGAATAACTTTAACAAATTACTGGAACAAACTATTTTACTACTATTTCACAACAGTGTTTCACTGTTATGAAATGAGGGAGATAAGCTAATATCTGACTAATAATTCAAAAAAACTAATAAACTGCTATTTAGTCTTATAAGGCATTTATTTTAGATAATGGAGATTTATAAAACATCTAATGTTGTGAAATATGTTTATTTACATTACAAAATCTGAAGTTTATGTTGTCAATATTTATCCAAAATAACATATATTTCATACTTGATAAAAAGATTCATATTTCAATATATTTTTGATACATTAAAATGAAGATAAACAGACTAAAAAAATGAAATACCACTTAATGAAAATGTGTTACCAAACTCTTCAGAAGCTTGCTTTGAAATATATGGGTACTGACTGGAGACTCCTAAAAATAATAAAAATGCCAAAAAATGTTTAAATAAAGATTTCAGAATTATTTTTGTGCAATCAAAGAAAATATTACGACAGGCACAATAATTACCAATAAATGACACAGATTTTGAAAAGAAGCTGGTCATTGGAGTACTATCTGTTTTCATCGATAAAAAAAATGTATCTGGAAGTTGAGCAGAAACTGCAGCTTCTATAGTAAAATGTCAAAATAAAAAATGAAAATTTAATATATAGGATATGCAGTATTGGCCATTAATAACAATCTAGCATGTTGTTTTTTATATCATTAGACTGATTGATATCAAATCAATGATTGCTTAACTATAAAAAGTTAAAATTCTTAAATATAAAAAGTGAATGAATGAAGTGAATGAGCATCTTTAAATAAATATAGATATTCATTAAAATATTATTTTAAGTGCTAAATATATTGCTTTTTTTTTACATTTCTCATCTCATAATCTAAAATAGTTACAACAGAAAAAATTAACAATCCACTCTATGATTTCAAACTTCCTTCAAAATTTCATTTGCCTTTGATTAAAAGTTTGCACTTATTTGTGAATTATTTATAATTATTTGAGATTTTTCATTTAAATTGTTATAAAAATTTGAAATTATTTGTAAAATGAAATAGAAAAATTAAAAAATAAAAAAAGAGTCCAATTAACTACAATATTTCAGCAATAAAACAATCAAATTGAATGGAAAACTAGAGAATAGGTGGTTTTCATTACATTGTTTCACTTATTCACATAGTGAAAAAAAAAAGAAATTTATCATCTACTGATCTCAGTCAAAAAAAAGGCAAGAAGCTTCTGGTGTTGTTGCTAGTGCTCGAACAATTAGAAGAGTACTACAAAAACACATTTACATGTGGCAAGCTGCTTTCAAAAAACCATTTCTATTGATAAAGCATCAGAAAGCAATAAAAAATTGGTGTTTAGCTCATAAAATTTGGTCTATGAGCAAGTGGCACAACGTTTTCAGAGATGACATAAATTGAGGTTGATTCGAGAAAAAACAAAAGTGAAATAAGTTGAGGTTGATTCAATAAAAAACAAAGTTGATTCAAAGAAAAAAACACAATGAAAAACCACATTAAAAAACGGAACAATGAAAACCACATTAAAAATCGGAACCAAAGAGTTCTACGTATAGAACAAAATATGGTTTTGGTAGTATAGGCATCTAGGCCTGCATGAACTATGAAGGTGTCAGTTGTTTTAAACTATTTGATGAAAGGCTTGATTCTCAAAGATATTTAGACATATTGGATAATTGTTTAATGTCTTCTATTAAAATTTTCCTAAAAGGCATGAGAACTATCATTCAACAAGATAATGCCCTATACTCCTAAGATTTGCAAGCAGTTGTTTGAAGGGAACAACATTAAAAAATTTTTGTTCTGCCAATAGTCCAGATCTCAATTACATAGGGAATTTGTAGTCTTATACCACAATCTTGCTAAAATGGAAATAAAAGATCTGGACCAGCTGAAAGAGTTAGTATAAAATTACTGAATAGTGTTCCATAAGATATTACTTAGAACTTAGTGAATTCCATGCCGAAACATATCAATGCATGCTTAAAAGCAAAAGGATTGTTAGCAAAATATTAATTCTTTTTTTTTTTAATATTTTGTAAAAAAAATTTTTATTAAGGTTTGTTAATTTTGTTTTGTGGTTTGTTTATTTTGGCCACAATTTTTTAACAAATGAGCACTTGTTTTATTTTCAATATTTTAGCTTTCATTATTTTATAATAAATTTGTATTGTGATTATTTGGTTTCAATAAAAAAAAAAAATTGAAAAAAAATCTCTTTTTTAGTTTTTACAATATTCAATTTCAAACTTGCAGTCATACTAAAATATCACGATGGATTGTTATTAATGGTGATTGTTATTAATGGTGATTGTTATTAATGGCCAATTCTGTACATATTTACATAGAATAACTATGTATAAATATATAAAATAATTTTTTGTTTTTATAATTTTTTTTTAATGATCAGACAGTTTTTTTAAAAAATAATAAAAATGCTAAATATTGTTTAAATAAAAATTTTAAAATTACTTATGTGTAATCAAAGAAAATATTACTACAGGGATAATAACTACCAATAAATGACAGAGATTTTGAAAAAAAGCTGGTCATTGGAGGACTACCTGTTTTCATCGATAGAGAAAATGTATCTGGAAGTTGAGTGGAAACTGCAGCTTCTATAAAAGAAAATCAAAAATTAAATTTTTGGTGTATTTAAAAAAATAATAGATAAAAAGGACTTTTTATCTATTACTTTTTGCATTTATACCTACCTATAAATCCAATATGGCTATCATTAGATGATAGCCGTATAAATGTGAGCCGCAAGAACTATGGCATTTATACCACTTAGGTAGTAGCCGCATATAATGACATTATTACAAATAATAAGCACTTTAGCATAAGATAGCAAAAAAACAAAACAATTTTAAGTGTAATAAATTGCTCTTTTTAAATATTATTTATATCAACAGATTTCTCTTTTTAAATATTGTTTTATATATTTTTTTAAATACTGTTTATATCAACTGGTTGCTTTTTTTAAATGTTTCAATAGCAATTGTAAATATTGTTTATATTACCTGCTTGCTCTTTGCAAATGTTTAGCATATTTTTAAATTTATCATTCTCAAAAGTTTTTTAAAACAACAAGTCATCTTTAACAAATAATAATGTATAATACAGGGCCAACGGCACAAGTTTCAAGTGGAGGGGTACAATCGTCAAATTTTAAAAAAAGTACTTTATATGTAGAATTTTCCTTAAAAAAAAAAAAAGATCCTTTAGAAAAAAAAAGGAAGGCATGTGACCCTCCTCCCCTGCCACCTAATTACCCTCCCCCCCAGTGTCATCGGCTCTGTAATAATAATAAACAATAATATAATACCAATGCATAATAGTAATAAATAACAAATAATAAATAGATTTTTCTTTTTAGATTCTTTATTAATAAACGCTAAAGCCACATTCTGGACGTTTTAATATTTTAAGCTTTATTTGTCACAATAAGTCTGAGAAAATTTAGCTAACTTTTATTTTTAAAATTTATAAATAATTTTAACTATTTAAAATCTTTGTGAACTCGACTGACTTAAGTGAAAAATAATTTTTGCATCTCCTGCATGGCCAATTTTTAACTAGTATGCAAGACCAATTTCTCTTCTGAGTTTTGTTATTTTTACAAGTTAATTTGTTTGAAGATGTTGAAACTAGAGTAAAACCATTCACTAAATTACTTAAAATAATTGCATTACATGTTTCATTAATGCTTTTAAAGTTTGTCTATAAGTTGTGCAAAAAGTAGCTCATTGAGATGATTTTAGGATTATTACTTTAAGAAATAATTAAGTTTTTTCCATTTTTTTCTGCTCCTGTTTAAAAAGTGCATTAATAATTACAGCTGAATTTTTTGATACATATATGTTTACACTTTATTACAACTTTGATACATGTATGTTTACAGTTTATTATAACTTTAGTATATGTATTTTTGCAGTTTAGTACAATTCTGATAAATGAATTTTTACATTTTAAAACACTGAATTTCAATATCTATTGGAGAAAGACTTCAATAAATCAAACCTGGAGGGAGATTTAATATTCTTCTCCCTCCAGCTCTGTATAAAAACTCTGATCTATAAAAAAATTTACACTTCATCTATCTGACGACGCAGAATCTTTGAATAATCAATATCAGAATCAAAGCAAAGAAATGCATGAAGGCAGTTGGAATTTCTGCTAACTTTAATTTATTATAAGTTCTAACCATCCCAGAATCAAGCATCATTATCATAATTTAACATAAAAAAACCATAAATTAACATAAAAAAATATTAGACTTGTCTGAAAAATTGAGTTAATAAACTTGCCAAATGAAACAGCATAATAACAAAAATTAGTGGGTGACAATAGTAATTTATTTCAACAATAGAGAGCAAGTCAATATGTAGTAACATAGCTAGTCTTAAATGATTTAAATTGAAACATACTTGAATTACCACTATCTGGAAACATTTTAATAGGCGATTTTCCAAAATCAGTTAGAGAAGTTAACATTTAAAATAGTTATTATTGAGAGCCCAATGTCAGCACCAGGACCTAGTGTGTTTCAATTTTGTGAAAACTTCATCAATTTATTAATTATTTTTTTGTTGGTAATAATAATTTGATTTTAACACAAATGCAAACAGGTTTTATGTTTTATTATTAGAGGTGTACCGGATATTTTTGCTGGATATGCCGGATATTGAACTTTTCTAAAGTTCTATAAGTGTTTATGAAAAAAAAACAAGTCTTTCTAGTTTACAATAAATAGTATTCAAGATCTTACTTTAAAATATTAAGAGAAAAACTGTATGACATGGGATATGTGCTGACGAAGTATAGAAAATAGTAATTAAAAAAAACTTGGCTTTAAAAACGGTTTTTCCGTATACATTATTAACGCATATACTTGTGTTATGCCAATTTTTACTTAACTTTATTTTTTCAAACCTTGAACACTATTTAATGTAGAATAGCAAGACTTGTTTTTTCTTTAAAAACACTTATAGAACTTTAGAAGAGTTCAATATTCGGCATATCCGGCAAAAATATCTGGTTCACCTCTTGTTATTAATGATCAGTCACTCTAGGAACCTGACCAAAAAAAAACCTTACCTGCTTTAGCAGCAACAACCAAACATAAAAATCTACTTCATCGTAGTAAGATTGGAACGCTTATTCTTTTAATAACTAGAAGCATGATGGCTTCTCAAATAAGCAATCATATCTTGCACGATCAGTCATAATTCATTTGTGAGACTTTTTTCCATTTACAAGGATTAATTGTATAAAAAAAACTAATATTTATATAACTTTAAACTAATATTTTTCAGCTGATACCAGTGCTTCTGAAACTTACCTCTTGTTTTCTTGATTTGTACAATTTGATTTTTAAAGTTTCGGTTTTCTTACTCATTTTCTGTTTTAATTTTTTTTGTACTTCTAACTTATACAACTCAATTTAAACTTGAATATTAAAAAAAAATTCTGTCAGTTACTAATAATCTTCTGATGATCATGACATTATAATAAAGTATCTTCTTGAGTTCTAAAAGCTGTACTGTAGTACAAAGCTACATCTAAAAAAGTTCATTCAGTTCATTTTACAAAACTGCTGCATTTTTAATGTAAACCTAAAATCCAGAACATTAATAAAAGACTTTTTATTTTTATTTTTTTGTCCTTAATGTGCTTGTTATTATATTTTTGATTTTTAAAAATTTGGATTTTGATTTATACAGTATATTTTAATGCATTTTAATCATACTTTATATTTTAATGTTATATATTAATGTCACCTATAAAATACGGCAATCAATGTTTTGCACATTCAAACAATCAAACAAAAAACTAAACACATAACAATATATGAATATAAAATAAAAACAAATATGTGAAAATACTATTGTATTTATTGTAAAAATTATATTTTTACAAAATATTTTTATTCAAAAAAGTGTTACTAAGAGGAAAAAGAAGCGAAACAGCAAACCAATTTTCTAAAGAGTAAAAACGAGGAAAAAAAAGCTCTTAAATCTATCATTTTTAAACCTAAAAAAAAAAAAACACAAGTTACCTATAGATGGAAACTGAGATATCGATGACAAGCCAGATAATAAACTGGTATATATATTTATAGATGTGAACACACTAGGAAGTTTAGAGGTCTGTGCAGTAGTTGTTATAGAACTTGAATAGACTAGTTTTTCACTCAATGACCCTAAAAATATTTTTTTACAGTTAAAAAAATTAACTCTGAAAATATGATTATTGTAAAACTGCACACAAAAAAACAAACACAGATAAATATTAATATATATATATATATATATATATATATATATATATATATATATATATATATATATATATATATATATATATATATATTATATATAAATAAATAAATATATATATATAAATATATATATATATACATATATATATATATATATATATATATATATATATATATATATATATATATATATATATATATATATATATGTATATATATATATATATATATATATATATATATATATATATATATATATATATATATATATATATATATATATATATATATATATATATATATGAAACACATATATTTCATACACAGAATATACAAAGAAATGGAAATGCCTTTTACAGAAAGTTGCATATAATAGAACTCATATAATAGAAATGATTTATAAACTTAAGACTTGAAATTAGAGAAAAGTATATTGAGCCAGGTCCAGAACTAATAAGAAAAATAGAAATGCAAACAAATTTTGTTAAGTTTCTCCCCTGCATCTTCCCTCTTGCCTACCTGCATTGTCTACAAAATTGTGGGGTGGGGTAAAACTAATGTTGATATATATGTTTTATAAAGCATTATATAATCATTTTTATTTTCACATATTATCTTTAAACTCTTGCTTAGCTGTTTTAAAACAGAGAAAAGAACAGTTGAAGCGCCAATTTGATTAAAAAATGAAACTAATGCATTTTGTCAACCAACCAATATGAATTTATATCTTCAGAAAAAAAACTACATTTCAAGGTCATTTATAAATAGTACAAACTAATCTGAAGTTAACAGAAGTTGACAATCAAGTGTAAAAAAAAAAAACTTCAGTTTTAAAAAAAAAAGCAATATTTGAATAATAAACTGAATTTATTTAAATAATATTCTAAAAAGTTTTAGTTATTTTTAAATCATTATTGCAATAATTGATAAGTTTCTTATGAAATGGTAAAGCGAGTACTAGAACTCACTTTCTAATCAAGAGGTGTAAAGATCTTTAACAAATTTAAGAGGTTAAAATATCTGGAAATGTTACAGTAAATTTAATACAAACGTTCAAGGAAAATTAAATATGCAATATCATAATACATGGATGTGCAAGGAAAAAAATGAAAGTTTTTTAAGAAAGAAGGAACAGATACAAAAAAATAATACAACTTTGCTAAATGACAAGTCACACGAGAGTAATACTATCATAGTCACTTAAGTAGCGACCATGGTAGTATTTGTAGAAAAAAGAAAAAAAACGTAGCTGTACAATAACTGGACAAAGGGTCAAGCTTGTGAGAGATTAGAAGATTAAAATTAGAGATTAGAATAATAAAGAAATGGCAAGCAAAATAAAAAAGGCAACCATAGAGTTGCTAATTTTGAATTGGATTTATGGTTTCAATAAGAAGTTAGTTGCGAATTATAAATAGAGAACTTTGTAAGAGTGTCGCCATTCATTAACATCAACAACACTCCAATAATTAGTAAACAATTGATTTTTGTTTGGATAAAAATTCACCAGTCATTTCAAACCCCAATTATTTGCAGAAGAAAGGACGCATTCAAGATCAGTTGCCTGTTCTAATCCAAAAATCATTAATATAGATGAGAAGCAAAACAAAACATGGTACATTGTTGTTATGCAAGGATTTACTTGAAATAAAGAAGATTCTTGGCTTTTAAGGATAAAAGTTATTCAATAACCTTTAATAAATTTTCCAAATACACAATATGAAGTTTATAAAAAAGTCCAGCACACTAGATTTCATCAAAAGCTTTTAATCATCACTACCTCCACCTAATGCATGATAGAACTTTTCTGTTAAAACATTTGATAAATCAGCTGTAGAACAAAAAAAACAAAATTTCTACAGATTTTAAAAGTAAATTGTCAAGATGAGATATTAGAAGTTTGGTAATTAAAAGTTCAAAGACCTAGCTAATAATAGAGAGAAGATTAGACAATAAATACAGAAATCAAAGGGTTCTTAAGAAAGTTTTGAAACATTTGAACCATAAATGCTATTTTTTAATTCTGTGACTGTAATGTTGTTGATTGAGTAAATTATAATTTGAAATAAATCCTATATGTAACTAAATCTGGTCAAAATAATGTGTTATTAATTAATTGATCTTAAACATAACTACATCTGCAAAATCCAAAGATAATGTTGTACAGATGTTATTACACTTTGTTAATTTAAAAGATATACCTACATCTGTAATTTTTCCACAGATGTTATTAGACACCAATAAAGTTTCAGATTTTATTGGACATCAATGTATTTACTGAAGTTGTTGGACAGATGTTATTATACCTCATTATATTTATGTTTTTACCTTGATCCCTTGCAATTGAAATCTTTAAAAAGACTTCGCAACTTTTTTACCAAAATATTTATTCTTAAAATAGTTAAGAAAATTTGTTTTTGTTAAAAAAAACAATGAAATGATTTGTAAAAGCAGCTGCACAAGAAAGTGAAAACCACAGGAATATCCAGGAGAGCATGTATCCAGGAGATTATATGAGAGGCACAATTGTCAGAGGAGAGACAAAAAAAAAATAAGCTCTAGGACTGTCATTAAAAAAATTGCAAAAAAATTCTCATTCAGCTTTGAGGCAGAAGTAAAAAGTGCAATTATAGATTCTGAATGATATGAGTTTGAAAAAGAAAAACGAGATAAAAGTGATATCATTTCATTGTCTTAATTTTCAAGAGAACAAAGAGAAACTGAGCATAAGCTAAAGTCATAGCAAAGAAACAAATAAAGAAGTAAGTGTAAGCAATTATGGTTGTCTGGAAAACAAGTCGCAACCTTAACAACTTAAGTAAGAAATAAAGAAAGATAAAAGTTTAAGCTTTGGAGTCAGAAGGTTCAGCAATACAATAGCCTAGCAGTTTTTAGTTTGATAACCATGTAAAGTCACAACATTATTGGCTGATGGATAAAAACAAAAGGGCTTGGTCAATTTGATGTTAAATAATATCAAAATGAGTGCAGTATTGAGAAAAAAGAGAACAATAAAGAACAAAAAGAAAGATTATTGAGTCATGAAATGCTAAACAGAAGCACATAAAAAAATGGTCAGGCGATTCAAACCTAATTTCACAACAAAAAAAGTAAATTAATAAATATATTCCAGGCTAAGTATATGGCTTTTGGAGTCTTCTAACAGATTAAAAAAATTAGGTGGTGGTGGTGGTAATGTGTATGGATTTTTTGTGTTTAATATGTTTAAGTACTTTAGTAAAGTTTAAAATTATTAGAGAGCTTGACTCTAATCAAAAATGGAGCATGGCATCCTAATCAGTGAGTTAAGTAGTTGTCTCTGTGCTGCTAGTTGCAATAAACTGCCAGCGATGAACACTAAAAACCCTAACAGGGACACCATCCATACACAACAAGGCAATACTAATACTCTGATATTTCAAAGCTGTTGATGAAATAAGCCTCTCGGAGACATGGTTTGGAAAACTTAACTACCAGTTGATGTTAGAAGCATAATCTGAGTTTTAGAGCTGTACCCTAATTAGGATACAACAGAAAGAGTTGCATTGCCACTCTCAAGGAGACATAAGCAATTATTCATGAGAAGAGTTAAGGCTGGTCAACAGAACACTTATGCTTACCTCTAAAGATTATGTCTAAACAGTAGTTTGATGCAGTTAATATCTTCACAAGATGAGTATTTTTATAAAGATACCAATTTTAGCTTTTACTCAACCAAGAGCACCAAGGTGGCAACTTAAGGGTGTTTTAAGTCAGAATTAACTTCTGCTAGTCTTTGTCTAGAAAAGACAGTTCTATAAAGCAGTGAGATATGTGAAGGTTTTATTGGATTACATAATATTTGTAATTAGATGATCAGAATCAGGGTCATCATGATTCTGATTCTAATCTAACTTAACTCCAGATAGTGCTTCAAATCAAAATAGTTTTAATATGCATATTAGATTCTTTTCCACTTATCTAGATCCATGTTGTTTGAAATATCATTTAAAATATTATTGTAGTTGGTTACTAATTCATTAATTAGTTGTTTTTCTTTAAAATAATTTCTCATAAAATAATGCCAGAGAAATAAATTTAACAATAGGTTTTTATATATAAACAATTAAATTTCAAATTACTTGATTAATTATAAATGTGTGTTTAGGTTAACAATCTGATGCCATACTAAAATAGCATGTTGCTGGGGGTTTCAGTACATACATCTACTGACAAAAAGGTAGAACATGCAAGAGAGTCCTGCTATATTGTCTATAGGTTTGGGCTAAAGCAGCAATTTTTTTTTTCATTATTCTTCAATTTTTTTTTCTTTTTTAGGAAAAGCAAAATATATTTATGAAATAAAGTAAGCTGATCTATATACTATATAGTAGTATTTAATTCATAATACAAATCAAAAAATAACAAATTACTAATGTTAATTAAAAATTATTTTTATTTTTAAAAAGCTTCTGCAAATGAATTTTGATAAAATTTTACTTCAAAAATCATTAAAATATTAATTTTTTGATACAATATTTTTATTAAGACAGTATTTGGTGGCATTTTTTTTTAAAACAGCATTCCCAAGACAAGGCAAATGTATAGATTAAGAACGAATTTTCAAATTTCGTTTGCAATATTTACCCCAGTTCTTTAATATTAATTCATAAAAGTTCATTTAATAAGATCTTCGGTACTTTAGTGAAGCCAAACAATAACAATGCAAGCCTGATGGAGAAAATACACAGTTATCGAAGTGATGTGAAAGGATTGAGAAAAGATAATCTTCTGACAAAAGCTGACACAAATGAAGTGTTAAAAAATGGTGATAATGTTTGGTTGAAACCGCCAAATGCAAAGTGCCATACTAAGTGGCAGCCAGAAAAACTAACGGGAAATATTTTGAAACAAATTGTCGATGTTAATGGCGTTCTGCGTCACATAAAATATATCCAATATCAAAATAACACTCAACCATGCAATATTCCTAAAGTGAACGTCGAGATAACGCCGAAAAACATGTTGAGAAAATTAAATATGAGTTGGAGACAAGCAAAAAAGACGAGTTAATATCAAATTGTGAAGCTGAAAATGGATTCCAAGAAACAGTACCGTTGCCACAAAGTACTTGACAACGACGTATGCCCCAAAAATACGACGACTATTATTTGTATGATCCGTAAGGACCAAGTAGGAGTGTAAATAAAGTGCAGAAAGTTCTAGAACGTTCTACGGCAATTATGTGGTTTATTTTTACTAATAGTTTTTAATTATTTTAGTTGTAGTTATGCATTAGGCGGTTTTCGTAATGTTGATTTTGTGGGTAGACATTTTATATAAATGGATGTAAAACTTTTGTAAGATGGGTTGAATTCAGGTTAAGAAAAATAAGTTATTTGGATGTAATTAAAGTTTTATTTTGAGTAAAAAAATTACAAAGTAAAATATCCAGAACAAACCTGGAATATATTTTCCTCTTAATTTTGCTTTTAGCTGATTTTTATTTTCTCAAACTTTTTTTAACTTTTGTATAAGTGATGAGTAAAAAAGCTTGGAAAACAAATATATTTAAAAAAATTTATTTGAACTTGTATGTATGGAAAACATTTTGAATATCTGAAAAGACTAAAAATTGAAAAAAATATCCAGAATTCTGGAAATATCTAAAAAAGATAATCCCTGCACATGTCTCCAATATTTCTATGCTACCAGTAGCTTATTGAAATAAAAACATCCTAAGGAATTTTATACCAATATTTTTTAATCACTACAGTCAAGAAGGCTACTATTTTTTCCATTGTAGCTGCAATGTAGCTACCATGTAGTTACAACCTTTTCTACAATCTTTAAATCCAAAAACCTTTTCTACAATCCTTTAAATCCTTGAAAAACAAGAGAACTTCGAAGAGAAACAAGTTGAGTGTAGTACTACCAGGTACATGGTGGGGATTAAACTCCAAACTTCTTGATTAAAAAGCAAGCCTTCTACCCCTACACCTCTACTGCATTAATTGGGAATTAATGTAATCTTGAAAATGCTCAATAGAATTGAGATATGGGCACTGATAAAGCCATTCAAAAACTTTTTTGTTATCAAAATATAATTCTTAACAGATATAGAGGTAGTTAATTGATATTTTAGATCAAGTCTCTTACCTATTGAATGTCTGAGATATCATGTCACTGCTGAATAGCATAAACTTTAATTTATCAGAGAAAAGATACTTAACCAGTCATTAACTATATAACTAATTTGATTTTTCTAAATTTTATTCTTACTTTAATTTCTTAGTTAATTTATAAGTTTTCTTAGTTAAACAAGACATTAAACCTTACCACTTTGTTGATAAGTAGTGTTTTATTATTGTAGAATTCAGAATTCAGAAATATTCAACCATCTGCCCATGTTTTGATTGCTCATTTTCATTTTATCCATTCAACACAAAAAAAATTTCATTTTATCCATTAAACACAATACAATTCAATGCAAGTTTTTATTAGTTGAAATATACAATCGAAATTGAAAGTGAAAGTAGAATTCTAAACTTACTCAATTAAACCATTATAAACAACATCAAAAATGTGAGTTTAAAGTTTACAGAAAAGAAGCCATTACAAATATTCAAATTAAACCTCACTCAAATCGTGATCCCAAGATTCTAAACACAATTTTTAAATGTAATGTTTACAGGGATTATTCTAAATGCAGTAATTTACATTTACAAGATAAGATTAATTTCCTTATTCAAATATTTAATGAAAATGAGTACAACATATGCCAACACGTATTGTTAACTTAATTGGAAATAAACAGCAATAAAAATCAACCAAATTCAATCACATTTTCTTAACTTCCCTACTTTTTTGTTACCAAATAAATCAGATTGCAGACAAAGTACAAAATATGGTAAAAATAAGGCTATATATATATATATATATATATATATATATATATATATATATATATATATATATATATATATATATATATATAAACATTAAAGTTCTGACTTAATCTTATTTAAACTTCATGACTATATTACGTTATTAAATTAAACATTAAAAAAAACAAGTTATTTTTAAACTCTCTGCATAACGTGTCTACAATATAATAAAGTCAAATTAATTGCAATATATAAATTATTATATAACTGTAATATTTTCAGATTGTCACAGCACTTACATTTATCTTCACCTTCAATTTTAAACATAAAACATGTTAATAGTCCACAAAGGTTCATATTCAATTGTAACAAAGCCCCAGCAAACTCTTGGGAAAAAGAAGTTGAGTGAATCTATTAAAAATTCATTCTTTTTTTTTAATAAATCTATATGGTTTGAAATAGTTTTTAAATTTTAATTTGCTGAAAAAAAATGATATAAATAATTACTAAAAATAACAAAATTAAAAACAAAATCTTAAAAAAATTAATAAAACTTGCAAGAAAATTAAATATTATAACTCAACAGAATGAAATGTAAAAACTATAACTAAAAATAAAAAATCAACAGAAAGTTACCAGCAAAGTGTATTGGTACTGTGTTCCAATATGTGTCAACTTGATAAATAAAGAACTCGCACCAGAGACATCATAAAAACCTTCACCATTTTTCCATCTTCTTAAAGATATTTGAGATGGATAATAATTGCATTGAAAAGTAGTTAGCAGATCTAACTGCTGAGTAACATTTAATTGAACAACTGGTATTAATAATGGGCTGTTTTTTGCAACTACAAGGCATCCTATAGATTATATTATAAAAATTTAATGGAAGAAAATTAAGAAAATATAATTTAAAACAAAATTATTAGGCCTTGATATTTTTATATTATTATTCTATTTTATACCTTTATGTTTTAAATTTAAAAAAAAGCCATAAAAAAAGCTACACTAATGATATAATTACCATTTGTCACTAATTTTTACTCGTTTATATTAGTTCAACATCTGTTGATAATAGTGTTGTCCTATTTTTACAATAAAAGTCATCCTTTTCATCCAAGTTTACACTAAAGAGACAACGTTGTGAAAAAGTAATTAGCAGTTCTGAAAATCATGTTTTCGACCAAAACCAAAAGACAAGAAGTTTCCAGTTTCAAAACACAGTAAATTTTGTTGAAAATTTATGCAATTGAAAAGATTACAATATAACTTAAACTACTTAACTTTTTCTACAATTGTAGCATTTCTTCATGCTACAAGAATAAATTTATTATGAAATTAGCACAACTAGAGGAAGCATTGAGCAATAAATAAAAACAGTTTTACTGATACTGTTTACATATGCAGTGAATTATGTGATATTGGGAATACAGTACACAAGTTCAAATCTATTCTACACCTCTGAAAGTACAATGCTCAACCTGTTTTTCTGTACAGTGGCCTGGTAACAAGGATTATGTTTAAAAGTTTAGAGCTTTGAAAAAAAAAATTATAAAATTGAATGAGTCAAAAATAAATGAGCCTTCTAAACTGTAGTGTCTCTTTTTTTCTTTGCTTTTCCACATTGTCAATTTTTGAACATCTTTCAAAGTCAGTCCAAACTGAAGATTTTAAAATGTAATTAACTAGAAGTTCATCTTCTACCAGGAAGACTTGCTTAACATTGTTTTTCTTGTAAAAGAATCTATCTAAACCTGAATCAAGAAATTGATTTCTGCACCTTCTTAAAGTTGCTTCAGGAATCTTAAAGTCCATAGAAGCTCTGTAGATAGACACTTCGTTGTTCACTATAAATTTTACACCTCTTTTTATGTCTTATTTTTGTGTAGATCTTCTATAAGTTTTTAAATCCATTCTTACTTCTAGGCATTTTGTTAATGTTTTATTTTTAGTTCCTTTGAAATTAAATGAAAAACATAAAAAACTATTAAACATCTGTACAATAAATTTTTCATGAAATGGAATGATAACATAGTTTTTAAAGCATAACTGCAAATGTTCTTATCAGTCTTTAATTATTTTTAGGGGGGAAAAAAAATCTCTGAAAAAAATTACTTTTTGGTACCGGAAACAAACCTTTATTTTTATTGTAATAAAACATGTGTTGAGCAGTGGTAGAACAACTTATTATAAGTCTCTAATGGCCAATACATGCAACTAAAATTTAATTTTTGAAATTATCACTGAAGATGGTAGCACAATTGACTGCTTTTTAATTTTACTTTGTAACTAAAAAGATGTCTTTCATTGTTAGTGAAGCAAAGGATATTTTTGTTCACTCAAATTTTAGATATGATGACTGAATTTTATCCTTTTATGACTAATGAAAAACTTTAAACAAAGCATTCTTTTTAATCTTATTGTCTCTTTACAGCATACTCATGCTAGATAATATTTAATGATAGGACAAATTTGATAAGGCAAAGATTTATACTTTCGATTTGTTTTTTATTTTATATATGTAATTTTAAAGGTGATATGTAATCTAGGTAGGGTGACCATTGTTCCAGTTTTTACACAGGAGAGCGCAGCGCAAAACTAATTAAAAATAGTTTAGTGCTGCACTCTCTTACGTAAAATCCGGGACAATGGTCACCCTAAATCTAGGTCATGTCTGTTTCAACTTCTTTAACAATATTAATTTTTCGTGCATAACAAAAACATTTTTTTTATGCAAGAATTAAAGCAGTGTAAATTTAGTTGTTTATTCTCAAGAGTGACATTCTTTCAGGATATTTTTTTTTTGAGTTCTAAACAAATATAAATTTATGAATTTTCAAAAAAGTATATTATAAAATCAAAGTATTTTTGAATAAATGATTAGCCTATAAATTTATAACTAAAATTTGAAAATAAAATTCATTTACATTTCCTATAAATGAATTGATCAAAACATGAATTAACTTAAAACGGTTTAACTCATCTCGTTCTACTTTGTGTTGCCATTAATGCAAAATGACAGTTACCTGCTTCTGCTTATAGAATATTTTTATATAATACTTATTTTAATTTAATTTGTATTTAAATTACTAACAATTTAATCACCTATAAAAAACTAGAATACAATTAATTAATTTTAAGACTAAATATTATGTTTAAAGTACTGAATATGGTAATATAAACAGTAATGCATGACTCTAGATAATTATTATCTAGTTATTTCTGCTGCTATATAGCAGCAGAAGTATCTAGATAATTACTATCTAGAGTCATGTGTGTGATAATATCAGATAATATCTGTGTGAAAAGGCAATAACCTCTGTGTGCAACCATCAATAAGCAGGTTGGAGGAGCACTGACCTTTAATAATGCTTCAATACTAAATTTTTCAATTATCAAGGTTTGAAGGCATTATTAAAATGCACTAATCTCTAATATATTAGAGATTAGTAATATATTAGAGATTACTGTCGAAAAATTTGAATGCATTTTAAAAAATCAACAACAAAAAATTATTAGTGTGTGTGTGTGTGTGTGTGTGTGTGTGTGTGTGTGTTTGTGTGTGTGAATTAACAAAATTTACTGTGTTTTGAAACACAGTAAATTTTGTTGAAAATTTACTGTGTTTGAAAACACAGTAAATTTTCAACAAAATTTACTGTGTTTTGAAACTGGAAACTTCTTGTCTTTTGGTTTCGGTCGAAAACATGATTTTCAGAACTGCTTATTTTACTTTTTCACAACGTTGTCTCTTTAGTGTAAACTTGTATGAAAAGGATGACTTTTATTGTAAAAATATAAAAAGTTTTATGCTTATACTTTTAGCTTTTTGGGTCTATGCTGCTATGATTTGATCAATACAAGTGTTACAAAAATTTACAATCATCTTAAAATCGCTTTTTTTAAATTGCTTAAGTTTGAACATTTTAGGCAAATGAATAAAATATTTTTAGATACGTTTGAGTTCTAAACTGCGTAAAAGCGACTAATATATTGCATAAAATTATAGCAGAAAACTAACTAGTAAGAACATGTTGATAAACAAAAAATAATTATAATTTAGTTAAACTTTAATTAAACTTTATTTGGTACTTTTCAGATTTGTCGGAAGCTGAGATTATAATTTTTTTCTAGTTAATAAAACCACTATTTTAAAGACAGAACTATCCACAATATAGTTTTAAAAAATGAGACAATTGATTAATATATTTTAAAAAGTTATAAGTCTTTTAAGTAACTTTAAACCTCTCATATAACAGACCTCTCGTAAATCTCAAAAACCTCTTATAAAACGGACAACTTGAATAAAGTTGCAGGTTTTATGAGAGGTGTCCCTCCTGTTTTATGAGAGGTGTCCCTTATAAATTTAATGAACTGGCTTATCTATGAGGCAGTTTTGGTCAATTAAACTCCAGTTTTTTTTTAATTTATTGTGTTTTTTTTATGGGTACTACAACATTATTAAAAGTAGTAGTACTTTTTTTTTCTTGAACATCCTAGATTAGAATTACTTACTTTTCTTTGAAAATTAGAAAAAAGTCCCTAAATTAGTATTTTAATGCGGGGTTATTAACAAATCCCTAGCAACAGCCTTAACGCTGAGTTTTTGACTTAGGGGTCTTCCGTAAAGTACGTGCGCAGATATGGGGAAGCGAGTATTACCCCGAATATATATAATATATCAAATGCGTTTAGGGAGGGGGATATGTGTTAAAGAAAGCGAGTACTTATGCAGTTTGATTACCATCCGTCTTCCATCTCTCCTAAAATCCATTTTTTTTTTTTTTTTTAATATAGCATTTAGTTCATTAGTTTAAAAACCAAATTTATGTTATGTAGAAGAGATTTGTCGAACTTTTTTTGTTTTTATCGTTTTATAATAATTTATGCGATGGAGAAGGAGGGATTCGGTTTTGTAATGCGCATGTAAGCAGAGGGAGTTAGTTCTATAAAAGCATATACGTGCGTACGCACAAGCACACATGGGGCTCAAAGAAAAAGCAAATAAAGTTGATTTGTTAGCAATCAAAATACAGTTATAGACACAAAGTTTAATTTTAAATCATTTTGTTTTAATAATTAAAATTAATTTTAATTAAAAATCTAAAGAGTTTCTTATATCCTTTACTGCACGTTTAAAGATTTATATTCTTGCCTGTAACACTTTTTATGCTTTTAGTGTGATGTCTTTTCCATTATCATATATTGTTTAAATTTTGTGATGACTTTAGGTTGCACGGGCTGTTCATTTTTTTTCTACACTTGATTGGTTAACATAATTCGAAGGAGGTATCTACGACAACTTTAGGGTTTATTAAAAACTCTAATTTATTTTATTGCTTTTTTTAATTTAATTAAGGTATATTGCTTTCTGATTGTTTTAGGATTGTTTATGCTAGAGGTAGCAATTTGGTTTTAATTGTTTTAAAACTAACTTTGTTAGTACTTTTTGTTTTCATACTTACTTGTAGTGGCGTAGGAAGGTTTTTAAATGTTTAAAATAACTAACTTTTAAACAAAAAGAATATTCCAAATTTTTTTACGTTCATATGTATGACAAAAAGATTTTTTACACAAAAAAATTTACTGTGATAGGAGAATGGGAACAAGAAACCCTAAAATCTTACCTCCCTCTACCCTGACCGTGAGGGCAATAAGTTGAACTATTTATTTTTTTCATAAATATAAACTAGTTATGTATTCATCGACGGATTTCAAATTTTATTTTTAAATTTTTCAGTGTTCAGTTTTTATGACCATGTAAAGAGTAATTCCCCCTCCTGAATTTGAGGGAGCCACAAACTTTATATGGTCATAAAAACTGAACTTACTTGAGTTGTTTTAGTTTTAATTTTTGTAT